GGTTTTATTTGAGCTTTTTGGCTGCGTTATAGAAAATGTACTATAGCAGTGTGTTACCGTATTTGGGTATGACTCATCAGAAGAGCATGCAGTGCAAGCAACCAATAGGCATGCAGGTTTCCTCTATTCTTCTTGCTGATTGGCTGTTGGGATTTGATAGAGAAAGAGAGAGAGAATGGTTTATTCGCGACATTTAAAAATACACTTATACAGTTCACAGCTGTCACACATAGGCAGCTAAGTCGATTTAGCTGAATTGGGTGTAACATTACATACTCGGAGCAGTTCTTCATACATTACAAACAATAAAACCATCTTAAATACGAGTTAAAAACTGTAAACGTTATATATTTAAAGACTCTTGTTAAAAGTTATTCTCTGTAATCAGACCTAATTTATCAAAATTATACCCAATCATATTTTTACATACATATCGGTGTGTCAAGATACTGTCATGTTCTTTCTTATTAACTGAGAACTGAACAACTGCGGAGTTCGTCGTTCAGTAAAGTTGTTGCATACATGATCGGACTCTTGGCGAATCTTACAGTTCTAGTTTTATAAGTGTTCAGCTGGTTACTAGATCTGGTGGTTCTGCCTGAGATCTCACGGCGTGGTGGGAGCCACTTCCTAAAGTCAGGGGATTTCAGTAGAGATAGAGCAAAGTTTCTGCACAAGTCACAGCGTCTTAGGCCTAGTGGGTCGAGTGAGAGATCCTGCAGGGCTGTGTTGTTGTGAGTGAAGTCCTGCCCAAGGATTATTCTACAAGCCCTTCTCTGCACCCTCTCGATCGACTCGGATTCGGCGACAGTCAGCCCAGGGTGCCATACCTGGCAGCAATACCCCTTGACCTCTTGAAAAACGGCTTAGGCCGAAGAGTTTGTACTGCTACGAAATTGTACTGTACATCTTCAAGGTTAAATAAAGGTTGAAAAAAAAGAAAAAAAAATACTCAAGCACGGGACGGACAGATTAGTGATCTTAGCATGTACAGTCTTCCACTGGCCTTCTCTACAATCATCGTGACATGCTTTGTCCACTTGAGATTGTTTTGTAGGATAACGCCCAAAATACGGGCTGCCTCCACTACTTCTAATTGCGTAGGTCCGATTTTTATCTCAGGTGGTGGTGGCGGGTTACGCGTGAAGCAGATAAAGAGAACTTTGCATTTGGAAGGGTTAAGAGTCATGTGATTGTGATCTGTCCACCTGGCTAAGCAGTCCACGTCGCCCTGGATGAACGGCGTCTTCTTCACAGGTCTTGATTCCGATAAAGACATGTCATCAACATATTTGTATGTGTCCGCTGAAGTGTCGCTGATCGGAACAGCATCATTTAAAAGTGCAAGGAAGACCAAAGGGCCTAACTTAGTGCCTTGCGGCACACCACAAGTTAGCATCTCCCAGTCTGACACCACACCTTGGTATCTGACGCGTTGCCGTCTACCGGAGATGAAACTACTGATCCGTGGCACAAGTGAGGGGCGGACGCCGAGGTCGATCAGTTTACTGATGGCGGTGTTATGGTGAACAGAGTCAAAAGCACGCGAAAAGTCCGTTAGGACTAGTGTGGTCGCGTGGCCCGGTTTATCCGCTGCTTCTAATAGCTTGTGCGTGAGGAGTGCCATGTAGTGGGTAGTGGAGCGACCCAAACTGTCGGTTGTCAACCCTCGGGAGTATGTTTCCGAAGGCACCAGTCCGTTTCAAAGCCTTCGCATACTTTCGCGAAAACAGATGTCAAAGAAATGGGTCTGGGTTTTGTGAGTCTTGGCGGCATCTCCTTCGGGACTGGGACTACGTCGGCGTCCCTCCAGGTGCCAGGTACGACACCTTGGTTGAGCGAGGTATTCATGATGTCACATAGTGGCTGACTAAGTTCGAAGGCAAACTCACGGACAATTCTGGGGGAGACGTCGTCATTGCCGGTGGCCTTCCCAACCTTTACCATTCTGAGTCTATACCACATGTCCCAGAACGATACAGAAGGTGGCGGGGCAGGAGCAGGGAGGTAGGCTGGAAGCTCTTGTGGTTGCAGGGGTGCATGCTGCTGTGATGCTGCTGACAGGTGGGCGTTTATAGCATCGGCTACAGCCTTAGGAGATGACGACTTAATAGCTTTATACCATTTTTTAGGGTCAGCTGTTTTGAGATGTTTTACCTTGGTTTTGTAGAAGTTTTTCTTTAACATGCAGATTGTGTTTGCGATTTTGTTGCGGAGACGTCTCACCTCTGGTACGTTCTGTTCTTTAAAGACTTACTGACGCTGCAAGATCATGGCCTTCAGGCCAGGGGTCATCCATGGTTTGTCTCTTTCATGTAAACGGACAACCTTTGATGGTAAGTATTTATCCATTGCTCTAGACAGTGTGAAGTAGAAGGCAGAACACTTGTCAGTTGCGCTGACCGCGCTGTAGACCTCTTCCCAGTGGTGTTGAGTAATCCACGATCCAAACAACCTTACTCCCGACTGTCGTAGGGGTCTAACGACTTTCTTGACCATCTTATTTTTTTACACGAGAGCCAGATACACCAGACCAGATCACACAATTGTGATCACTGGCGCCGACGGGAGGGTCCGTTGTTGGTGGTTGGTAGCATTGTGCAAGGGCTTCACTCGCAAGTACTTGGTCGAAGTCCAGAAGTGCGTTGTCAGACGTGGAGTTGGGAGGGTGGTAAACTGCGCAGAGGGCGATTGACGACACAGATCGCGGACGCCAGTGGGGTCTCAGATGGACCCAACCACACTCCAATTCTGTCGGCACAACAACATCCAGTGGTTTTGACGGTATGGTATGTTTTGTATATACCGCCACGCCTCCACCACGCCTGTCGGACCGGCACTTGGAAAACTGGTTAAAATTCGGAATATCCGTTGCCCCTGGTGGTAGGCTGGGGGTAAACCATGTTTCAGTTACGACTGCCACATCAATTGCCGATGTAGATAGCACCAATTGGAATTCATCCATTTTGTTCAGAAGTGACCTGGTGTTTGTATTCTCGGCATACACCGAGACTGGCATGTTGCCTTTTGTTGTTCCAATTTGATTGGTTGCAGCTGGCGGGGAGCCCGACGTGTAATAAGGTGATTAACGGCGAGGAAGGGTCTATTCCCGATTACAGTCTGTATGAGTTTTGTATGGTTCTTACCAGCCTTACAGCCTCTTGGTCTGCTTTTTGGACGCAAGATATCCAGAGAGCGCAGAGTAGACCTGAGCGCTTGATCCTGGGGTGTAGCAGCCTTGCGTAGACTCCGAAAGAGTTGTGCTGGATATCTCAGGATTCCACAGGTGCCATATCCCGCCATTGTTGTACATATCCAGGTAAGACGTGGTGTGGGAATGGACACAAAAAACAGCCACTGAAGATCGTTTGAAGACAAGTCCGATCAGACGGAGACCATCACAGAACATGCAGCGTACATTAACACATCCAGACACTAATAAATGGGTATATATAGTCCTCAAGAAATTATCAAAAACGGCTAAAAGTTCGTACTCAGACGGAGAACATTTGACGTGCGTCTTTCTGCAAGAAACGCCACCTAGCGATGATTTGACGGCACGTTCTGCGGGAGAGTGCGGGACGTTCTGCGGGAGAGTGCGGGACGTCCTGCGGGAGAGTGCGGTTCGTCCTGCGGGAGAATGCGGTACGTTCTGCGGGAGAGTGCGGGACGTCCTGCGGGAGAGTGCGGTACGTCCTGCGGGAGAGTGCGGTACGTCCTGCGGGAGAGTGCGGTTCGTCCTGCGGGAGAGTGCGGTACGTTCTGCGGGAGAGTGCGGTACGTCCTGCGGGAGAATGCGGTACGTCCTGCGGGAGAGTGCGGTACGTCCTGCGGGAGAGTGCGCTACGTCCTGCAGGAGAGTGCGGGACGTTCTGCGGGAGAGTGCGGGACGTCCTGCGGGAGAGTGCGGGACATTCTGCGGGAGAGTGCGGTACGTCCTGTGGGAGAGTGCGGGACGTCCTGTGGGAGAGTGCGGGACGTCCCGCAGAATTTCACAGAACTTTCGCAGAACTGTCCACTGGTAATGGGAAATGCCACTGCGAAACTTCTTCTGTGTAGAAAATCTTTCGCGAGATATCGGTCGTTAATGAGCAGTCTTTGTATTCTGAGATTTGTGCATGGACGATTGATGTTTACCATTTGATACTCTGAGTTTGAGTGTGATTCCAATAAACATTTCACATAACTACGAACTAGTTGGAAGAATGATAGATGCGTGGATGCCTGTATATGATTTAACAAACAAAAATCCGACGCTAAAACTGCTAAAACCGCTTCTCCGTTGGAACAACGCAAGCCGGAGGTCAATAACCTGCAGCAAACGCGGTTAAATACGTAATGTGTATCGTCGGCGCGTGCGCACCACGGTATCAACAATTTTCTGCCACAATCTGCTCCGACTATAATCTACAACTTGTATTATCTAGTAGGTTCTGTCATCGATTTCCGAAGAATCACCAAAATTGTCGAGTGTACAGATTCAAGCGTTCGTTTGTTGTTGCTGATAACATCGCAAGTAGGCTTCGTGGCAAATTTTCCTAAAGTGAGGGTCGAGGGTTTGCATGCCCGACAGTTTTCAAAGATTGGACAGGGCGGGGCTGTAATATCAAAGGAGCCGGCGGCTTGTGTTAGCCGGGTTGATAGTTACGTTACATCAAGGGGGTTCAAAGCGAACCTATATAAATAAAGAAGGAAATCTCCTAGATAGGGGAGGTTGACGTACGGAGTTGCCGAACAAAAGGGGGCTTATACATACATGACTATGCATGAATCTGTTCATTACAAATGTATGTCACAATATATCCGAATCCAAGATCGCTACATTTACAAATTGTACTATTTTTTACGATCAAAATTGTCCGGCATTTCTCAGGCGCACTTTACGAAGCGCCCCATCCCATTCGAGTGCTCCACTGCGGGATATTGCGGGACGTCTCGCGGAATATCGCGGTACGTCCCGCAGAACTTGATGCGTATTTCGTGGCCTGTACTGTACATGTATGTCCAGCATTGGAATGCGAGACATAAACGCTTCGTTTTATCTTGAAAATCAACAGTTTGCCTTATGCAATTAAAAATCCTAACCAATAGTGTAGGGGATAGCTATCCAACTGTTATCACTTCATACTATAATATAAAATCCTTATATCAATGTAAAGAAGTGGTTTCCCTTGTGTTTCTCCTTCTTTCCCTGTACTCGTAAAATGTTCTCCTTCTTTCCCTGTACTCGTAAAATGTAATGTAGCCATCCGCTACATTTGCTCCAAAGCAAATGTTGGCCTTGCAAGATTCAAACAAGAGTTCCAAGACATCATACCTCCATGAAATATGGGCTTGATATATAAATGTAAATTTCTTCTTAATTATGCAAATGACCTCTGCATTAACATGATATACGCATCGTGATGTATGTAAACTATTGATTAGCTTACAGATGTCCCAAGTATGACATTCACATTATTCACCTTTAAGAAATCATGGAATTTTCACATTAATTATGCAAATTAGGTCATCATTTGCATAACTAGTATCTGTTGATGTTCCGCCTGCCATAGGTTACATACATTACATGTATGAAAGTAGTATAATGTAAAACACTGTAATTATAGAATTCCCGCATTAATTATGCAAATTATGTCCTCATTTGCATAATTTGATTTAATTATGTACATCTCTCTCTCAGCTACCTACACACCAAAAATGATAAAAATACGTTGTTCCTATCTGGATTTATTGGCTTTTAAACATTTCGCCAGAAAGTGCCCTGCAGTTCCAGAACAAGCTGCTAGGGGGACCAAACTCACACCACTTATTCCTTACAGGAAAAGCTATCTGTCACCATAACATCAAGACCATAGCATGTTCAGGAAAAAAGATACAAAAACCGGACGTTCAGCTGCAGTACCAAGGTCATCCACCAGGAGGCCCATAATTGACCTATCAAATCATATCACCTCCTATCAAAGACATTTTACATTTTACATCTTGCTCCTATAGACCTCGGTCACCGCCTAAACGGTATGTCCATTTGCCCATCATTTCTAGTCTGAGATTGATACTCGTAATGATCAGTCGAAATCCCGCGGGTCTCTACAGTTATGACATTCCACAGAAGTACATGGACAATGTGATTCCCCATATAAATCCAGACAAGGAGAATGAGACGGGGGTCAAACGTCCACTATATATCGCTTATGCTACAATTCCCAATATTTTGTCCATCAAGTTGGCTGAAGATGAATGTATTATTTTCATACTGTAGGTCACGACCGAACGTACTTTCATACAACAAGTTTTCCTGCATTTCTACCATAAACCAGTATTAGATGGAGTTTTACAGGAACTATGGTGGAATGTCAACTGACACCCCACTGGGCGATAATCCACAAAAGCCAGCTCAGACCACCAAATGTGAAAAATTGGCTGGGAAATTTTCTCTCCAAGCAGAGGTTGGTGCAGTGGGGAAGATTGTTACTTTTCTATTAGGCCCCTTTCTGTCTGTCGCTACTTCCACCATCTGTTGGTTGGAAGGTAACAATGTCCCGCACCAACCTTAGCTTGTAGAGTAGAAAAGTTCACAATTTGTACGCATTGGGCAACTCTGCTGTATTTTCTCTTCCTAAATATATTGTTCTACGATATTACAGGGTTAGTGGACTTACTGCGTAATGTAAAGAACTTACAGGAAATACAAGAGTTGTACCAGTTAGGTAACTGTTACTCAGATGGCCCACTGACAATAATATCACATGACATGCCGGCCATCCACAACGTAAACTGATGACGACAACACTTTACGTTCATGCCAAACGATGTACAACGTAAAATGATGACGACAACACTTTACGTTAATGCCAAACGATGTACAACGTAAACTGATGACGACAACACTTTACGTTAATGCCAAACGATGTACAACGTAAACTGATGACGACAACACTTTACGTTCATGCCAAACGATGGACAACATAAACTGATGACGACATCACTTTACGTTCATGCCAAATGATGTACAACATAAACTGATGACGACATCACTTTATGTTCATGCCAAATGTTGTACAACGTAAACTGATGACGACATCCCTTTAGGAACAAAGATTTTAAAGAACCCCTTAGTATTATATAGCTATGTGACTCAATTCGAAGCGGTTGAAAGAAAAAAGAATTTAATATGTTTAAGTTTAGGGTAGAATCTATGAAATAACTGAAGAAAACTATAGTTCTATTGTCAAGTTTTTTTTAACCAGCCTATGAAGATTTTGTCCGTACTACGTTGTATCCTGGAGTCGCTCATTAATATTGTGTTATGCGGCCTTTACATTCATTCCATACCACACAACACGAATTGATGACGTCACAAGAACACGTCTACCTGACTGTTGAAATGGACGGAACCATAAGCAATGGATAGGGGTGATTAATTTGTTACCAAAAATTCAGCGAACAGCACGTACACTCTTAGGAGTCTATGTGACGTCGGAACATATTATATGTAACTGAACATATCTAACATAATGTTACGTACGTACGTAACGTGGTGCGTTTTGATGCGTTATGCGATGTTTATACTTTGCGTTAACATAACGGAACGTAACCTACGTTACGTTACCATAACATAACCTACGTTACGTTAACATAACATAACCTACGTTACGTTACCATAACATAACCTACGTTACGTTACCATAACATAACCTACGTTACGTTAACATAACCAACGTTACGTTAACATAACCAACGTTACGTTAACATATAGATGAAACGTACGTGACGTATTGACTTAAAAACCTGACGTTTTTTACGTCCGTAATTTTGACACGGAAATTTCAGAACCATGCGTACGTAACGTATCCACACGTTATGTCATACGTGAACGTTCACCTAACATACGTAACGTATTGACCGAAAAACGTTACGTATTGACTCCAAAACGTAGCGTTTTTAACGTCTGTATTTTTGACACAAAAATGATGCCATATTATGTATCCTAATTTTCGTGTCAAAATAACATACGGTTAGGTTATATCAAAGGTTATGTCCACGTAACGTTAACTTTAACGTAACGTTGGTTAACGTTAACGTAGTTATCACGTTATGTTTACGTCATGTTAACGTTATGTTAACAATATGTTAACGTTATGTTAACGATATGTTAACGTTAACGTAACGTTGTCGTGACGTATGTACTTGCAAACTTTGTCGAAAGGCTGATTAAAAAAGCAGGTGTGTTTGAAACACCTTTATATCTTGTGTTGTAAAACTGTTGAATAAAACAATGCTAATGACGGATATTACACAAAACTTACCTGTTTCACATATGTATCTGAAGCTATCACCGCATGCTGCGTCCGCCCACTTGTTTCTGCGTTCACTGTCGGACTGTGCTCCAAACACAAGATGAGAACAGGGGTATGAAGGATCATCGGGCTCCCCGGGTGCCCAGGCAGAGAATCCGCCGAGCGCGCTACCCTGGCTGTCAACCCACGTTCCGTCTGGTCTACTGACTCCGAGCCAAAACTGAGCATTTCTGTAAGATGACATGAGAAAAATGACATTTCCCTTTTACACCCGTTTTGTACTGTTTTGATGTAATGTTTCACGGTGAATGTTGTTTCCTAAGGTATTTCCAAGTCTTAGAAAGGAGTAGAGTGTGCCTCAGTATATAGTACTAGTGCAATGGTCAAGTGGGTAGAGTGCTTAGACGCCTTGCATTCGGTAGGTCGTGTGTTTAATCCCCGGCCGAGTCATACAAAAGACTTTAGAAATGGTATATCTGCTTAATCTACTTAGCACGTAGCATTCGGGAAAGAGTATGGGAGTTAAACACAAACCACTGCCAGTGGACTAGCCAGCTGCTGTAGAGATGCTGTAGAGTTGATGATAAGTACTCTCTGTGGCTAAATTTTTAATCATATTTAATATTTAACTTAACTGCTCATGTACTATATGGTGTAACAGTGATTGAAAATATTATTCTTACTGGTCTAGACAGTTCTTGAAAAACACAAGATACGCCTGCTCGTTCGAGTCCAGCGGCAGAGCGACCGTTCCTCCCTCGGCGACACATCTCGCCTGGGCCGTGGCGTAGTCGACCTGCTCGTCGGATGGCGCCACGTACCTTTTGCCGTTGGGGAGACTGAGCTGACCATTTGTTGGACAACTCGCTGGAAGATCCCAACCTGCAGTAAGCAGGTAAAGCGGTTTTAGAAGAGGAAGGTCATGTGAATCTCATCTTCTGGAATTCACAGAAGAGCTGTTTGAGAACATGGTGAATAGACGTCAGACGGACGTCCTGGTGATGAACTTTGCTAAAGCCTTCGATTAGGTTAACCATAGCCTACGCCATTACGGCATCCGTCGAGAGATCAGTGCTTGGATCACAGCTTTCCTCACTGACAGCGTCTAAGCGGTAGTTAAGTCAACGGCGAGCGTTAGGACATCGTAACCGTTATAGATATCTTTAGAAGGTACGTCATTTTCTCTAATTCCAACAAAAATGCATTTATGACATGCGCTTTATACTAGAGAAATAATTCAAAACAATAGTTGACCAGTTTGTCGGTAGAACTTGTTGGAAATATTACATCGAGGAAGGGGGAAGGGGTGGTAGGCATTATGGGAAGTGTGAAATTGGTGAATAGCCGGTCTGGTTGAATTAATTACCCTCATTTTTAGGACTGGGCTAATCAGAAAACAGCCGAAGACCACTAGTTCTATAAGCTTGCTACGGAGGCTATGGGCAAGGAGACTTTATGCATGTTTCTCTTCCAGACTAACTACGCTGGCTATATATTATCCGAATATCACCCTATGGGGATTAACGTGACTCAATTTGAAGCGGTTGAAAGAAAAACGAATTCAATATGTTTAAGTTGAGGGGAAAATTAATCTTACTACGTGACTATGTTATGCATACGACACCATAAGTCTACACTTTTAGTTTGTACTTGTTGACTTTAGCTTACCTTGACTACCAACCACAGCTCGTACATTCCTATTGACCGGTTCGTCTGGTCCTCGTGCGGCACCTGGAACAATCATCACACACGTAAATAATTTCATCAGGTTGGTAAACGAATGAAAAGTTCTTTGATCAAAACCATTTATTTTTCACGAGCCGACGTTTCCATGACCGTCTGTCATCTTCATCAGGGCAATTCTGACTGGTTTACTGTGAACTGAACTGAACTGTGAACTGAACTAGAATTGTATGGGTTTTATGTCATGTTACACATGGTTTCTAATATTAATAGCATCCCATATAATTTTATGTAAATTTTATAGTTAAAAATGCATAATTTATGCTAATATGATGACGTCATTGGCCAAAATCCAAGATGGCGGACCATATCATTAGAACAGGTATATACAGGTTATTTTCCTTAAAATTTCATCAAAACTTCCATTTCTTTTACAAAAAAGGTTCATATAAACGTCTTTAGTCTGTTTACAATGTATTTTAGGCTTTGTCATTAAAAAAAACTATTTTTGAAAATTCAAGATTGATGGTCCAAAATGGCGGATATCTTAAATATGCATGACGTCATTTTATGACGTCACCGGTGTTTCTATGGGCAGCATAAGACTTAGTACACCCTAATATTCTGTCATAAACACTTTTGGTATGTTGAATACCATTTAGTTTTCAGGGAATAACCAATCTAGACGGTTTTGGCCAATAAAATCACATTTATGACGTCATAATGACGTCATATAACGTCATAATGACATACAAATTGTAGACATGATAAATCTTCACTACTACACCATCCTCTGAAAATTTGGTGGTCATACGATATACCGTTCTTGAGTTTTGAGTGGGGGGTCAAATGAGCCCCCACCCCCGTCCCACCAAGCTCAAAAAAGCCCGGTCTAGATAGGGTTAAGTTAGTTTTTATTGTTAACAATGCATTTCCGAACGTAGTGCAATTGTGACATACATAGGCATTCTTACATCATTCTTACATTACACAGCAAACCAGTCAGAATTGCCCTGATGAAGATGGCAGACGGTCATCGAAACGTCGGCTCGTAAAAAAAAAAAACTTACTACCACAACGGCGTTTATAATTAAAAACGGACTGAAACAGGACTTTTTTTTCTGAGGATGTTATCTACTTTTTTTGCTTTATGTCAATGAAATTAATTTGTTTTCTTGCTGTCTTTATTGAGTGTGCATGCATGTCAGTGTTCTTTTGTGTACCCAGGGAGACTTCAAAAACAGGCCATATAGTCCCGAGTGTTGCTACTGGTAAAATGAAGAAATGAAGAGGGATAGTTTTTAAGTATGTCTAACTGTTAGAAATCCTTATTAACATGCCATGAGGTGCAGGGCCAGTCTTGAACGGTCCCTCAAAGTCCCGCAAGGTGGCGCTGTGATATGCCAGCCCGTCATCGCCATCTTCACCTGGTTCTTCTGCCGGGTTCTATCGAAAAATACAGAAAACAAAATATAGTGCGTCCGTCAAAGTGTGTTTGTTTATCGATTTTTCCTTGTGTTTCATTTCGCGTAAAAGAAGATTCTTATACTATCTGCGTGTATGCACTTGAATTAAAAGCGCTGCAGTGCATATGCATGTAATCATATACTGGTTTGTTATTGTTTAGTCCAAATCTCCAGGGAATGCCTTTCTGTTCATGTATTATACTCCGAGTCCGATGATGTAGTTATGTTGGCTAAAGGCCAGGCTTATCAATATTCTGGAGACTCAAAAGGTATCGTAATATTACCAAGCCCAATTTTACTATATACCGGTACCGTTGTATTTTTGCCTTGCACGTCCGAAAGGGGTATAGTTATGTTCACCGAAGGAAAACATATTGTTTTTGCTACGTTTCCTCTTCCTCTTCTTCTTCTCCAAACAGTGACCTCTTACCTAACTGAACCAAACTGTCTCTCACCATGGTAACTACTGTTGGGTTACATTATGTTGGAATTTTATAGTAGGAGGGATTTAGACTCCTGTCACCATGTCTGTGAATGTGTTTGAGTAAGAATTAACAGAGCAGCCCATATGCGAAGATAAACATTATGCATTAGTTTTGCAAATGTTACTTTTTTCTAGTTAGATTAAAATCATGAGGAAAAAAAGCTCAAGTAACCACCTGTTTTAATTTCATGACCCTTTGTAACTACGTCAAGCTTGTAAGGAACTATATTGATAACTAGAAAGGCCAATATTTGCTTTGGAGCAAATACAGCGATGGGTTCACCACATTTTACCACATGGCAGGGAAAGAATGAGAAACACAAGGGAAAACAATGATTTACATTGATATAACTATAATATGAAGTAACATACAACTAAAACAACAGTTGGATAGCTATTCCCTACTTTATTGGTTAGGATTTTTAATTGCATAATGCAAACTGTTGATTTTCAAAATAAAAAAAAACGTTCATGCCCCGCATTCCAATGCTGGAGCAGAAAAGCTTGAAATACCTACCAAAACACTTGAATAAAGACATACTGTCAGTATGGAAATACTCTGTGCAGGTGTTAATCAATTTAAATCCCAACAGCCAATCAGCAAGAAATGCTCTGTGCAGGTGGAAATGCTCAGTGTGCAGGTGTTAATCAAGTTAAATTCCAACAGCCAATCAGCAAGAAGTATAGAGGAAAGCTGCATGCCTATTGGTTGATGCCCTGCATTCCATTGTGATGACTCATGCCCAGACGTGGTAAACATGGCACACTAACACAGTAATACATTAGCTATAATACAGCCAAAAAACTCAAATAAAACCATTCTAAAAGCCTGTATCACAAACATTTAAAAAACGCCTAGGGGTATTTGCCCACTGTACCTCCATACCAAATTTCAGGACCTTAGGCCCTAAAATGAAGAAGCTGAATCCATTTAAAAAATGGCAGGAGGAGAAGGAGAAGGAGAAGAAGAAGAAGAAACATCAGAAAAAGCAATATGGTTTCACCACACCACGAAGTGGTGTGGTGAACCCATAATAAAGTGCTCTAACCGGCATCGGTTAATTAAGAAATCTGGCTCTAATAGGATTTCTTGACTTCTACCTCATCCTCCTGTCTGAGTCCAGACGTCCTCCAACCGGTAGCCTGCACATCACCGAGAGCCTCTGCTGGTTCCTCTGCGTCCTCCAATGGTTTACACACGGCCGCGACGGCCAGAAAAGCAAGCATCAGAAGTTCAGTCTTCATGATGCCATGCTGGAGAATAGGAGTAGCAAAAGTAAACTAAGTTGAATAGCAAAGTTCTTTTTATCACAACCATTTATTTTTCACTAGCCGACGTTTCGATGACCGTCTGTCATCTTCATCAGGGCAATTCTGACTGGTTTACTGTGCACTGACACTAGATGTTACTTGGTGCATAGTGCACTAAAGGTGTTACATAGTTCATAGTGCACTTAAGCTAGTTTTTTTCTGTTTACAATACATTCCGGAACGTAGTGTAATTGTGACATACATACTAGGCATTGTTACATCATAGGGAAATATGTGGTTCCAAATGTAAAGTGTTTCTATATAAGATTTGTTAACTGACAATACTGAGGTATCACAGTCCCAAATAGAAATTATTAAAAGTCTTCTTACATATGTATTGTTAGGAATCATAATAGTTACAAGCAATAAAAAAAACAATGTCAGTTATTAAGAATGTGATCCCAAACATGACTAAGTTTATACCCCCCCCCCTCATCACGGAAAAACTCATAAACAAAAACTAGCTTAAGTGCACTATGAACTTTGTAACACCTTTAGTGTACTATGCACCAAGTAACATCTAGTGTCAGTGCACAGTAAACCAGTCAGAATTGCCCTGATGAAGATGACAGACGGTCATCGAAACGTCGGCTAGTGAAAAATAAATGGTTGTGATAAAAAGAACTTTGCTATTCAGTCGTTTACCAACCTGATGAAATTATTTACGGAAGTAAACTAAGTTGTTAGAATCTGATGAAGTTTTTTTTTAATATTTCATTAGTGGCTTTCAAACCGAGCATTTCAGAAGACACTCTTCATGAATCAACATAAAAGACATTTCTTTCTCGCAGTTTTCTAATAATAAATACCAATGACAGATGGAAGCCAGAGAAACAGTTTTAGGTCAACCGCTAACTTTTATTATTCAGGAAAGGGGAAAGCGGGACCACATTGGTAGTGGGTACGCCCTCGTTGCCATAACTCTTAACTCTTGTTTGCACAGAAACAACCTTGCAATAAATTATTCAAACTGTGGCAGGTCTTAGGTATTAACTGCTCATTTCCAGTCCATCGCAACACAATACGAATAGGCTGTATGTATTGTACACAAAAGGTAGTTAACAATAGATTTTTCTATAGATTTTTCACACTCAGTGGACTTGATTCTGACACGCCAGAGTCGAACTGCGCCAAATTGTTCTTTTTTAGACCAATCTCGTTGTTGTTTTTTTTCCTCGCTGGAAAAATATATTTTATCTTCTTAGCGGTATTAAACCATCCCTGTTAACAACCTCTGCTTTCAACAGGATAACCTAGATAACACAACCGTGTTCCTCAGCCAGATGAATAATCTATATACGGTAATATCGGCCCTGCAAGGTAAAGCATAGGGGACTTTTTCAACTAGAATGTGCAGTTTTTTATTAGCAGTTTTAATGCAAAAAGGCAGCTTCAAAGATGGCAAGATGGTCTTGTGGTTACGATTCTTGACTCAGAATCTAAAGATTATCGGTTAGAATTCCTGGCAGATCCATTGTTGTGTCATTTGGAAAGGCACTTAACACATATTCCCCAACTCGACTCAGGTGTAAATCTACTAAACCTTAAGATGTTTAAGGAGAGATACATGCGAGCACAATAAAGATCCCATCACACTTGTCGGAAATAGTAGAGGTCCTTACCGGTGTGAGTAGTTCAAACCAGTTTAGTCCAGTCTTTCGCAGCTTGTACAAAACTGGCGTGCTGTACTAATTGTGGCTTATGCCGACGATATTTATCAATAATTCTTAGATTTTCTTAAATCTATCACTAGTAATAATTCTGGTGGGTCTGGCACTTAGCCATTCCATATAACAATGTCGAACTAATGGCAACACACTACTCCATATTTCTACTCGTGACCAATAGGCAGACGTTGCAGCCAGTATCCTAAGAAGAAAACATGTAACTTATGGACTAACCTTTGATCACCGACTAAATACACACAGGTACACGGCAGCAGTAGTATTACGCACAGCTCTTGTGCTAGAATGGCCGCTTTCTTTCTTCTCCTACAGGTTAACAGGGAAACGCCTATGCCATAAATTATTCAAATTGTGGCAGCTCTGAGATATTATGCCACTTCTCATGTTCCAGTCAACCATAGCACAATACGAAGTGGCAGTTTGTATTGTGCGTACCAGGCAGTTAACAATAGGGTGGGGCGAACATTGGATACAGGCGACCGATGGATTGTGACAGGCGGCTGACGTAAAGTCACCCTGCCCACCGAATCTGCTTGGAGACTAACAATAGGGCATCTTATCTCTATTCAGCTGTAATAGACTGTGTAACCGCGAGGTCTGTAACATCAGTCGCGCTTAAAATAGCAATCGCTACTATCGGGCGCAAAGGCCATGTCCCTATCCTATACCCAGACACCAGGGGAGGGGCCAGTATTAAATTCCGCCAGTCGAGAGCTGTCAGTGTACATGTGTACACCTACCAAGTCAACTAATCATTTTCACCGGGTCAACTAATTGTCCGCGAACAAAGGAATCTTGATCAAATTTTGTCAAAAACACGTCAATTTCTGGTTCTTCAATATCTGGTAAGTTCGTGTGCTAGGAGGATGACGTCACGATTCAAGATGGCGGCATAGTGCCAAAACTCCTGTACACATGTGGAGAAAGACTTACTAGGTGTTTTGGTCGACAACCAGCTAAAGTTCCATGAAAACTCAGCGGCAGCTGCTAAGAAGGCAAATCGGGTCCTAGGTTTGGTGAAGAGGTCCTTCTCAAACCTGGATGACAGCTCTGTCCCCATTCTCTACAAATGTATGGTCAGACCACATCTTGAGTACGCCAATGTGGTTTGGGGGCCCCACTTCAGTGGTGACCAGGCATTGATTGAGAGGGTACAACACAGGGCTACAAGACTGGTACCGTCCTTACAGGAGCTACCATACTGCAGAAGCTGCACTTATCTTCACTTAGATACAGGAGAGTGAGTGGGGACATGATACAGATGTACAAGATCATGACCAAAAGAGAGAGTGGAACCTGATGAGTTTTAGGTGGAGAAAACACGAGGGCACTCGTATAGGTTGAAGGTCCCACTGGCAAAGACCGCAGTAAGGAGACACTCCTCTGCCATAAGAGCAGTGCAGTTATGGAATTCCCTACCCTGTTCTGGGATTGACGCCGAGAGCGTCAACAGCTCCAAGTCAAGGCTGGATAAGCACTGGAGCGGGAGACTACACATAGAATGAGAGGAGGGTGTACACCAGTGGCCACAGTTGGTGGTCAAAGGTAGCCTGAGGTCGGTAGACTCCATTAGTGGACATTGTCATTTGTCTTAAAAAATTAAAAGGCCGATCTCTTCTCTTTCCAGCCGCTTCTGAAGCAGGGAAGAGACTAGGTTTAGTACAGACGAGGTGAATGAATACTGTTTTCGACACATAGTGAACCTTAAGCGTCGGTCACAACCCGCCGTACGTGCTTTTTTCCGTACGTTTTTTGGGAGGCTACGTCTGCTACGTTTTTTTTTTCTGAAAACGTAGGGTGACCGGCCGAGGGAGTACGTCACTCGCGCAAGGTGTAAGTACGCGGTCTGTTGAGCAAGTGGTAACTGAGTTGTACGTGCTTACAACCTATATGATCTCTGTACGATTGCCACGTTACCGCGCACAGGCCGTACCTACACGTGCGGCGTATGTACGGTTTTCTTACACACTCGCACGTTATCAGTGCGTGCAGGTGCGATGAACCATCTGATTCTTCTTCCCTCCTCCTGTCATCTTCCTCACTAGCCGCCCTGTCGTCTTCCGCGGCCCGTTTCTTTGGGTCTTGTCTGGTTGTACGAAACTTAAGATGCTTTCTTCTGTACCGTCTTGCGCATCTTGGAGACGGGTTACCAGTCCAATTTATAAGTGAATAAGATACATGAAATGTGGCTATCGAAAAAGGGCTAAAGCAGGGGGTTAATCGTTGTTGTGGTCCCCCCGAGATCCTCAGGTATAGGGCCTCGGAAGTATATATACCCGAGGTGTATATGGTGAGATAATCCCTGGTAGGGTGCGATAACCACCGAAGAAACCACCTGGTGAAACGAGGTGGTTTATTAGGTGGTTATCGCACACGCCCGAAAACACATATACAATAAAGGCAAAAGGACAGCCCAATAGCAAAACAAATACCGAGTTAAAAAAAATCCGTCCACCCAAACGCGAGAAACAGCTGCGAACCCCAAGAAGAACAAGACCAAAATGCTACCAAACTATGCAACTAGGTAAAATTCAAACAGTGATAGGAAACAGGTTGCTAATTGGATTACTGAAGACAATATCTCAACACGTGAACCCTTCAAATCCAAATCGGTATCGACATGTCTAAGGCCCTTTTCCCCACTATGATAAAGTTGTCTGGATCTAGCCGAATACATAGCTAACCGAATCGATCCCAACAGTGTTGCCTGAAATGGGTAGAAATTTGATGCAGCAAATACAGGAGGCCAATGCATATATTAGGCATGAAATCTAAGCCGCTACATTACGTAGATTGTGACCGAGTGTTCTCGTCAAAATAGCTGCCGGGTCAAAAAATGAAACTCCGCAGTCTCGCTGCCGGGTGCTAAGAATATGAAAGTCTACTGAAAGCGGCCTCACGTCTTTCAATCGCCCGTACAGGATAAAATGCCTCGCTGACTTTTGTTGCTGTGTACAGCTCGAGACAAAATTGCAATGTTACGGCACAACAGTCTCCTTATTCCAGGAAATCGAGAAATTTGAAAAAAAATATGTTTTCTCTACATGTTAATCGCAGCAGTGCTATGGCTCTGCATTGATCGGTTTGGCGCTGGCGTTGACCGTGGCCCATGACCTTCGGGCAGGCATAGGGCTCGCGCGCAGTGGTGCCGGTACCAGTCATTATCATGTATCCAGTGCACATCTAGTTTGAGACGAGCATGCGGAATGAATCGGAAGCTTTTCGGCGACATTGTGAACAAGCTACCCAACACCACACAGTCAAGTACGTATTTAGACTTCCCTCGTGAGACCTGAAATTGGCCAGAGCGCCGTGATACCCCCGTCACATTGCGCGTAAATCGATCGGCCGACTAGTTGGCGAGCTCTAAACGACATTTACGGCCGTAGTACGCCCGATGTTCCGTCGAGCATCGCGCGAATTGTCGGGATCGCCGGCGATTTTTAGGAGTCGGCCGAAGCTCGCTGACACGCGAAACGTGTTCTTAACATCAGCGACTAGTCGCCGGCGATTTTTGAGGTCGCAGAGCTCGTTTCCAGCTCGCGCGTAGCTCGCCCGTAGCTCGTCCCTGTGCGGCCGAGAGTCGACCGATATTCGGACGTACTTCCCACGAGTCTCGGCCGTATTTCGTCGTCTTTGAAAATCGGGCGACGGTCGCTGAATACGGTCGACCCTCGCGCGAGCTTCGCGAAATATTCGGGCGACCCTCTTCCGTACCTCGCCCGACTTGCGCAAAGTTTTTAAAATCGTGCGTGCTTCGAGCGAGCTTCGTGGCAGTGTCGGACGAAGGTTCTACAAGCCTCGGCCGAGCTCCTGTGAAGTTATTATTTATTCAGCACCTGTGACATTTCTTTGAGATTGACAGTATACTGTGTAAAGTTTGCAGGAGCAACGTCCCACTGATTGTTTACGTTATGTTTACGAGAAAGTATAAAAATAGACAAAATCATCCTTCGTCCTTTTGTTACATCAACATTCGTTAATGAACAAAAGCACTTTAAAAAGATGACGAGGTTATAACTATATAAGGCCAAATGCCTAGATTTTGACCTCAACTGATTGAACGCACATGAAATCCTGCTGGAGGGCAGCCACCAGCTGCACCTGCTGGAGGACAGCCACCAGCTGCACCTGCAGGAGGACAGCCACCAGCTGCACCTGCAGGAGGGCAGCCACCAGCTGCACCTGCTGGAGGACAGCCACCAGCTGCACCTGCAGGAGGACAGCCACCAGCTGCACCTGCTGGAGGACAGCCACCAGCTGCAGGGGGACAGCCACCAGCTGCAGGGGGACAGCAAACTGGACAGGCAACTCCTGAATCAAATCACCGCAGCATTCAAGAGCCACCCCAAAACCACTCTGAGACAGGAGTAGGACTTGAAGTTGAAGGAGAACCAGGTTAGCATGCATTGTAGTGACTGTCCTATTTAATTAACAACCAGATATTTCCGCCAGTATTTCTTAGCCAGGTTCTTTCTTTTGTGTGAAAGATAAAGAGGTTAACAAAAACAATCATTTTCAAAATTATTGAAAAATATTCAAAAGTTTTCATACTTTGTGTCTAGATAAATGTAGCTTGTGAGTCTTTGCATGATTTTGTTTTTATTGCCTCTTATTGATGACCATCAGAAAGTGTGGTATTTGGAATTGGTGTTACTGTAACTGTTGTAATTACATTTTTTCTTCTTTTTTTTTAATTGTAATTACACTTCTTCTGTTGTGAAGGCAAAGAGCCCACGAGAAGTGGACCTTCTTCGTTTGACATTACTTGTGAATCTGTGCAACCAAGCAGTGAGTCTTATTTTCCTGACCTGTACATACATTATTATTTAAAAAATTGACTTGGTACACATGTAGTCTTTATCACAGTATGTATTATGATGTTAGCAATTTAGCGGTTTACTGAATGTGACTGTAACTGTAGCAGTGCACACTGTGATTTATATGTAATTGATTGTGATGTAATGTAACGTCATTGTGATTTTTTTTCTCTGTGATATACTGTATTTTTAAATGTACCTTGGTTTGAGTTCCCAGGAATAACTGAAAAGCAGATCGGTAGATCTGAGTTATATCCTGGTTAAATAAATAAACTTGAAACTTGATCCTTTACTCTTGTCCTTTAGGAGGTGCGTGCCGGCCCTTATTTCAGATGATTGTATAATAAATTAACGTTTACACTTGTTCATTCTGGAATGAGGTTGACATCTTTTTCCTTAGGGTGCCTTCATGTGATAGATATTACTTACTAGTTGAAGTTTATATTGCATGGGTCTTTTTACCTCTGTCTACTTTGTTGACATTGAATGACTAATAATCTTGTTTACCGGAAGATTCGTACTATTTTAGACACAAGTATACAGACAAAGTTTTAGAACAATACATATTATTAGCTTTGTTCAGGTACACGTGTATAAAAAGATTTTGATATAAAATGATAATCATTATGTCTTGTTGTACGTTTTGGTTGAATGGTGTAGAAATCGTGCGAGCATCGATAGATCGTCGACCGTAACTCGGGAGACGTACGCCCGTGTGTCGAGCGAGCTTCGCCCGACTCCTGTCTGGTTAAAAATGTGGTTGTTGTGTTAACCAGACGGTAGTGTACATTTGTGGCTCTTGTGGTAGTATTTGAGTCGGATCTTTCACAGAATTCCTGTTTCTATTTCTATTTCATTCTGCCAGTCCGCTCCATTACTTTGGTAAAAAATATTACGACAGGTCAAACATAAAAATTGTCCAAACTATTCATTTTTAGGTGGATACACTGGCATTGCTTCATCTGCTTGCCATGTCATAGGGACTTCATTATCATAGATGTATTCCCATGTAATCGCCCGAGCCTCGCACAATGTGACCGCGACGACTTTCAAGCCAAAAATACGCGCGATCGTCGGTCGATCTCAAAATCGGCCGATCTTTCGGCGATTGACAAATACGGCCGAAGCTCGTTGACAATGTGACGGGGGTATGAGAGCGCCGGAATCTCTACGGCGCCCCCTCTGCACTCTCTGCGCCACCAAAACCCAAATGTCAACAACTTTTATGGACAACCAAAGATTTTGTAGATCATTCAACGAATTAAGGAAACAAAGAACGAATTTTTGTACGTTTTCTGTATTTTGCGGAAATATGTAACGAATTTTGTCAGGTTCTGTGCGTTTGATTGTTACACGTTTTTAAAGTCATTTTTGTACATCCTGCATTATATTCAAACTATAAAATCAAGGGTTCCCATTCCACTAGGACTGCGCTCTCTCTGCGAACTGACATTTGTCGGAGCGTGGAGAGAGCGCCATGAGAGCGCCGAGGTCGCCATGTTTTTAGTAAATTAATCACTTTGCAAAAGGGGGTGATTTCCGGACATATTCGAAGTTTAAATATTCCTGAACATGTCGCATATTGGGACTGTGTCCGGAAAAGTGGTTCGATACTTAACGTATCCAGAAATATCCTGAGTCAGGAATTGTTTTGTTGCGTATCCGGACATACATGTATACGACTTTCATATTTTCACAGATACGTGTCATTGGCGTTTCTTGCTTCCAAATACATGATACGTTTCACATTTGGGGCATATCCAAGGTTAATATATTGCAGGAATGAATTTTGAACAAAATATCCTGAGTCATGAATTGTTTTGTTGCATATCCTGACATATACAACTTTCATATGTTTACAGATACGTGTCAGTTAATGGTTTGGCGTTTGTGCGCTCTCATGTCGCTCTCTCCACGCTCTCCCCGCTCATTGTTGCATCTCCCCTTGGCGCTCTCACATTGTAACACGATTACTGCAGGCTGATCCTGGATCCTATAATGTAAATAATAATATGTAATTCTTCCCTATCAATTTTGTAAGTTTTGCCTGGAGTACTTTACACATTGTAACCTTATTTATTCTATTCTGTTATTATTAAGCTTTGCATGTCTGTTTCTGCATTTGCTTTTGTATTTTTGTAATGTTAAATGGCGACATGAACATAAGCTCCGGCTTGAATGTGTCGCCATCCTGTCCACTTTGTTCCTAAATGTTTTAATAAAGAAAAAAAATAATAACATGCCTGTATAAGGCACTAACATGTTAACGAGTAAATGGATATTTGATTAAAGATTTCTGGACTTACGTTAATTTTTTTCATTGTTAAATGATAAAGATACTGATAAAGATTTCCTCCAATTTACCCGTACAGCTTTTCAAATGAGGGAGAAGGTTAAGGGGGGGGGGGGGGTCCCCAACTGCAAAGCCTCTGTCACACCAATGAGTTAGGCTACCACGGGCCGCGATGGAAAAAAAAGAAAATTTATTCAGACAACAGATTGCGGCCTCCTTGTAGCCGTATATCGAGTGATTGAATTATCAGACTAAAATAAAATAAATATCACAAAATCTTATCTCATAGATAAATAAACATACAATCACGTCTGTACACGCATGCATGTACTTATAAGAGACTTATGAATACGATTGACATCTGCTTCGCAACTGCTACATATAACATACCAAAGGTGGGTGGAATGGAACCTTCTCTCGGCGGCTGGTTGTAGGATGGCCGGCTTATAAAATAACGCGTTAAAATCTTCAAAACACTGTATCAAAATTTCTACCCGCCCCAGAGCCTGCATAGGAGGCTAATGTCGGCCCCGTCGCGGTTAAGTGACGGGTGATGGGCCCTGTTGTAAATAGCCTTCTTCACCCCTCTCAGGAAATAGTCTTGTTCAGTGTCCAAACTTCTTACAGTGTCAAGTGAAACAAAATGTCCAGGTGACTCTGTGTGGATGTGTTGTGACACTTCTGAGGTGACTTTCCTGAGAGGGAGAAGTTGGGAAGAGAATTTAACATTACGGCATAAAATTTCACTATATTAACGTATTGATATTACTTGGAAAGTTTACAATTTGTAAGTACAAGTATAGTACATACAATGGAAATATTACGATATTATTTGAAAATAATTGTTTTTGAGAGGTTTAATGTAAACATTGCTAACCACATGTAAATATGTATAGTTTGTATATTTCATTCGTCAATAAAAATGTCTTGAGTTAAAAAAACACAAACAAACATTGCAACTCTCTTTCTGTTGTGTCATTTTAATTGTGAGCTGTAAGATTAAGAAGAAGGTTGTTCCTTCTCATACGTAGATTGTGCAGATGTTCAGTAGAGGTTATCCTTTGCATTATCAAATGATTTGTTAACATTTAAAATCTACAGGTTATAATATTTTTAGGATTTCTCATGGTTGAGACGCACTTTCCATGTTTATTTAACATAATCATGTGTCTAGACACAATGAATGTATTATACGGGACTTATGCATGCGATTGACCAGCCTTTAATGGTTCATACATGTCATGTTGCAGACTGGAATCATTTTCGACGGGAAACCTTCCGAAACATTAGGGCATTGTAGAACGTTGTGTCGACTTGACTAAACTATAGCAGTAAAGTGACTAATAAAAGGTTTCTTCTAGGTATAAACCGTTTTCTAAAGTATTTGTATTCTTAAGGAACCAATCTGCCGCGATGTCTGTAGTAGCAGGACCGTCTAATGGTGAAGACACTCACGCCCCAGACGATAGCGTGGAAGAAACGGAGAATTCTCACTGCTCCACACAGACAGATGAATATGGGGACGGCTTCATCGAGCCATATCTCACCGCTTACCACCTGGGGAATCTGGATGCAGAACATCCAGGGGAGATCGCGTCGTCTCAACAGGAGCCTGGCTTTCATAATGCTTCTCTCTTGAAAGGTGAAATTTGTATTATTTCCAAATTAATGTAAAATAAACACAAGGTTTGATGCAAGGTTTGATTTTGAGGTGGTAAAATTATTTATATGATTTCAGCATACAGGCATATATAGTAGTAAAAGGACGTACTTGGTGCTAAAACGGTTATATTCGCCTTTGGACCTACATGAAAATACATTGGGTTATGAATTATGATATGTGTATTTATTTTTGTGGGCTCCATTGAAAATTAGCCTGGTTTAGGCTTAGTCCCTAACCAAGAGATGAAGAAATAAATAAATGATACAATTATATATATTTACAGTTTATATGACGTAGAGAGCGTTAATATTTCATAGATACGCCGACTAGGTCCAGTTACGACGAAGACGACATTTTACAAGACAATGAGTCAACTCATACCAGGGTGGATCGCAATGATTCGGAAGACCCAACAGACCACTACTATACGTGCATTGGTGACCACGACTATACCTACATCGACAACACATCATCAGTAGTGGGTACAGAAGGCTCCGTCGCGTCACGTAGTCGCTATTCATCTCAAGAAACCGAGACAGCGGCAAACACCTCACAACAAGAAGAGCAGAGAGGTAAACCATACTTAACTTTATATTTATGTACTTAACTTAGCCTTAAAAGAAATCTCAAGAATCACATACTTCTTTTCCCCACCCCCATTTGACATTTTTATTCAGATCAAGGACATTATACAGTCCTTGTTAAGATTAAGTCCCATTGACTCATTGTATTCTCATAATTTTATAGGTTACATTTTAACTACTATTATAAGTTTGCGTCTTCGTTATAAGTAAGAATCAGCTTTTATCCATCATATATCATATTGCGTTAGTTGATAATTAAATGCGTTGTTAACATCATTTGTACTTTTTTTTTATCAATTTCTGTTATTATGTGTAATGTATCATACAATTTATATATTTGGGGGAATATCGTGGACAGGTCATAACGGCTTTTTATCCCCTCCCCGCATATCTCTATTATTATGTTATGTTATGTTCATTTTATTACCTTGATCACATGCGAATAAACAAACAAGCAAACAACTAGAGTTCCAAAATCTCCTACCTTCGACAAATTCATCTTCAGACGGCACTTCTAGCACCTCCTCATACATTATACAAAAAAGGCACTGATTTGCATGATTTATGACTGATGATGTTCAATTTTACCAAACTTTCAAGTATTAAAAGTGTGGATTCCTCGCCATTCAGCACTATGGTATTATGTAATTTGTATATTTCATAGATACGCCGAGATGGTCCAGCTACGACGAAAGCTACTATACTTACATTGGTGACCACGACTATACCTACATCGACAACACATCATCAGTAGTGGGTACAGAAGGCTCCGCCGCATCATGTAGTCGATATTCATCTCAAGAAACCGAGACGGCGGTAAACACCTCACAACAAGAAGAGCAGAGAGGTAAACCATACTCAACTAAAGTTCCACGATCTCATAACTTCAACAAATTCATCTTCAGACGGCACTTGTAGCACCTTCTCATACATTATACAAATAAGACAGTGATTTACATTATTTATGACTGATGATGTTCAATTTTTACCAACCTTTCAAGTATCAAAAAAAGTGTGGAATACTCGCCTTTCAGCACTATGGTATTATGATATCTCATAAATAATGCAAATGAGGTAATGTTTTGCATTATTGACATCCTACGATGTTCCTCTCTTCCTTGGTTCACAAGATTCAATGTCCTGCATGTGTACGTCATAACTACTTGTTTATTACTCCGTGAAGGAGGTCAGGACCTCCGGACGGAGTGTTGTGATCGGCTGATTTTTCATGTTCGCAGTCAAAACACTGGGTTCTCTTTGTGTAATCGGCACGCAATTTTATACGCCGTCTGCGGGCATGCCCGTGTTGATGCACGAATGTGTATATTGCAGACGCACCCCTACAATTACGAGGCGAATCGGAATGGTCCAGAAAAACGCGTTGTTTGGAATAGCAGTGGGGGGGTGGAACTTCATGCAGATGCGGGGTGGATTTGATAAGTGGTTCCAGATGTTTTTGCCCATGCTTAAGAGATGCCAAGTTTTTTGGAAGATGTTCGCAGCCAAAACGCATTCTTCCGTACGTCGCATTTCTGTGTAATTTCGCATTTGGTGTGGCATTATGTCCGGGATGATGCACGTCTTTTTATTTTTACCGTAGCTGTTTTGATATTGAAGTAAATGCATATTTTAGAAACATCCCTACTTTTACAATCCTGTGGAATAGGCCGTAGGTTTAGGCAGTTGTCTGGTAGCAGAGGTACTGTAAGCAGGCCGTTTAGCAGGCTGTTATCTGGCCGGCGGTAGTAACACTCGCGGTGCTTACCGCAACTGTTGCTGGAATTTGGCCTGTTCCAGGCGCGCTTAATTAGGTACAGGCACGGTAAGACGGTGGGGCTGTCTTTGTTACTAGACACGACCATGATAGTCCGATCTTTATGTGAATGCAATGATTGTGTGTGTGTAATTAAAATTAACTTCGAACTTGAAGCACAGTATCTTTACACGCCCTGGGAGCAGTAATGGATTTAGCTCTTTGTATGTTTTATGCTTGTGACGCGCCCTCATTGTATTAACCGTTGCCTAATTATAATGTCTGCACAGTAGGTCTGGCGTTGACGCTTGGGATTTTGTTGAAATATATAACTTCACGGAGGATTGTCACCTATGGCTTCTTGTTAAGTATTAAACTTAGACGCAAATAATTTATATTACGTTGACAGCGTATATATATATATTATTTACATATTCATTTATTTATTTATTCTTTAGGAAACGTTAGGGTCTGCCTATTTCGACATTTGAACACTGTGGCAACCGCCATCTTTCTTGCCGCCTTGATAGTCGTTGGACTGTTACTGGTGATGGGGGTGATAACTCCTGAAGTGACGGTAAGTCTGCCGATTTACCATTCAACTTTCGATATGATACAGGCTGTAAACCTAGTAAGAAGCACATTTTATTGATAGACTGATTAAAAGTCAGAACATTGTTTTGAATATTATCCATCAACATTACATATTTATAGCGCCCCATGATTACATTTCACCCATACTATACATTTCACCCATACTATAGTTTGGGTGAAATGTATTATTTTCCCTGTTCTTCTTCTTCTCCTCCTCTTCCTGCCATTTCGTTCAATGGATACAATTTCTTCATTTTTGGACCTAAAATTTGGTATGTAGGTAAAGTGGTCAAATACCTTCTTGCGTTTATTTTCCTTTTTTTTATATAGCCTTTTAAAATGGTTTTATCAGGGGTTTTATCATATATACATGTATGACCATATTTGGAATAAGTGGCATGTATGACCATATTTGGCACACGACCTACTTTCTCATCAGGTGGGAATAGTTTCGTCTTGCTAATTGGCTGCTGGCATAATGTGATCAAAATTATGATAATCAAACAGATACAGGGTTCCATGGAAAGATAATCTCCAAGAAAATACAGGGTGGTATGGATTGCATGGTGAATGGGAAAATTTGGAATGGGTTGGCAAATGGGTGAAATATGCTGTATTTGCTCTTGAGTAAATGCTGGCCTTTCTAATTGTACTCATAATTTCTTGCAATTGGTGTTCAATGCACCGAGTTCAATCATCTAGTAGAGTCTTGTGGTACACCCTGTATGGGATTAGTGGATGGTCGTTTCAGGTTACTTGATCATTCTGCAATATTTTTAGGTTTGTACACTTCATAAGGACCTCAGTCATCTAAAAGCCCACAGCGGATAACACAGTGAGACATGAAAAATAGGTATAACTGCAGATACTTACCTGAAAATTCTGGAACCGCATACCTTTGTGAAAACAATTGACAGTCTATGTATACGAAACTCAGGAGAAAATTGACAATTGGTATGACAAGTTTTGTGACATTATCTATGATGAAATAAAGCCAGTGTATCGGGTAAGCCATAGGCCCTCAATATCCTCATCATTTTTCCTCTATCGAAAGCTTTATAGAAGTCTACAAGTATAATGATTGTTTCCAGATTGTAATCCACGACTCGTTGAGCGCCCAGGGCGAAACCCGTTTTGGTTAGGTCTTAGTACCTTGTCTATTGCAGGTGGAATATGATTTAGAATCATCTTATTACCAACCAAAGTAGGGGTAGACCCAGAGTCACCTACTCAGACAACTTGGGATGCGACACTGACCTGCATGATACTAACGAATTGCGAAGGGCCATGAAGACAAAGTGTTATGGAGGAGACATTCTTGATTAGTTCTAGGTAAGCCAGGTGCTGAGGATGGTAGTAACAATGTACTTAAGTAGACATACATATTTAGCAGCAAAACATGTGTAATTTTGAATACGATTTGTTCCTAACAGCCACATATATCCATATACCCTGGGCCCGATACAACACTGATATGGGGAACTTCATTTGATGTTGAAACACCGGGGACAACAGTGGATGCAGACACCGCTGTTATGGACGTGAGTCATACCAAAACATTTTTGCTTACTTCTGATTAGGCCACAGCAAGTAATTTTATGGATGACATCATCAGCGCGCATTGATTTTCACCTGTTTTTGGAGGAAAAAAAACAAGAAATTTTGTTGCCCCCTGACAGTGGTCAACATGCCGAAAATGGGCAAAATGGCATGCCTTGATATGCATGCAGGAACATGGATGGCAGATAAACATGAAGAGAGGAGACAATACAATGCTCTGATGTATTGTTTTGACTTTTACTTTGATGCAGTGATGTATTTCCTTCCTTAAAAATCAAAACCATCTGTACAATGATGGAGTTAGAAGGCCAGGAGACTCCATGGTACAATGATTGAAAACTTTCATTTTTCAAAGTTGTTTCAGTGACAAATGGCTGTTGTAATAGTTGGAAGCAAAGTTAGCACAATATAGGTATCATTTCTTGTTTAACGGGGTTTATGATGTCAAAATTTGAAAATGTAGGAATCTTGTTTCTTCGGGCCCGCCTTGTTTTTTTCGCCTCTCGCATAGGATTTACAGTCTGCAGAGGATGTCATCCATAAAATTTACATGCTGTGGCTTTACATATATGCACGGCAGTTCATCTGAGTAAAAAAATATAATGGGATTTAAAATGTTTTCCAACTCAAGGAAAATTAACTCATCGGGATTTTTTTTACCAAATCGCTTGGTCTTCATCAGCATTCTGACCCGACTACTGTGACACCGGACTGGGGGAAGGGGGGCGGTCCCGACGTCCGGCGAAATTTGACCCAGTGTTGACATTACACGTGGGCTAATTAAGAATCACGTGTGTACAACACTCAGGTCAGACAAGACCGAGTCAGGTCAGAAAAGACCGAGTCAGGTCAGAAAAGACCGAGTCAGGTCAGAAAAGACCGAGTGCGTCAATCGCAAATTATGGTAAAATAGTTTCCTTGAGTTAGAGAACAGTTTAATTCTATGAATAGCAAAGTTCTTTGATCACAACGGTGAACCATTTATTTTTCACGAGCCGACGTTTCGATGACCGTCTGTCATCTTCATCAGGGCAAATCTAAATGGTTTACTGTGCAATGCCTATGTATGTCACAATTGCACTACATTCGAAAATGCATTGTTAACAGTAAAAACTACATTAATGCACTATGAACCAAGTAACAATGCACTGGGAACCGTGTAACACCTTTAGTGCACTATGCACCAAGTACATCTAGCGTCATTGCACAGTAAACCAGTCAAAATTGCCCTGATGAAGATGACAGGCGGTCATCGAAACGTCGGCTCGTGAAAAATAAATGGTTGTGATCAAAGAACTTTTCTATTCATTCGTTTACCAACCTGATGAAATTATTTACGTAGTTTAATTCTCATTAGACATTGTATAAATGCAAATAGAAGTTATAAGTGACAAGATTTGTACACTTTTTTTCCACAAAAGGAATTTCCCAACTCCGGGTCTGAGAATAGCATGTCAATAACCACGGAACAGGCCAAAACGTCTGAAGGTAAGATCATTATTTAATAATTCTTTTTGGAAAATCAATTGCTGTAACATTTTAAAACTAAACATACACGTAAATGCAAAAAATGTTCTGGATGTATATACTCATTCAGGGTAAAAGTATAGCAAATCTTGATTATAGGATGTCCAAGAATACAAGATACAATAACAAATTTATGCTGTAGGGGCAACAACATATACCATTATTTCTTATTTGGATAAATTCCTTAGCTTGTATAACATATCAAATTTATGTATCAAAGGCTTATTGGGTCATTCTGTCCTTTCTTTCTTTCTTTGTTCAACTACACCGTATCTTTCATTCGCAATATCTGATTATGATCTTAAATCCGTTGATTGAGGAATATTCTACTACTACTTCTACGTGACTGATGAACCTCTTCAACAAAAATGAAGTATACTTACAGTATAGCTGCTATGGCATGACAGAATCAGTAAGGAATGCAGAGAGCAACAGCCAATAGGCATGCAGGTTTCGAGATCGTTGGGTTGTTGTAATCTTCTTGCTGGTTGGGATATAGCATATTGGCAGCTGAACTGCATTCAATTGTTGTTAGTAGGTTTGTCACACTTTCTTGCAAATAATGTAGGGAGTAGCTATCCAGCTGTTGTATTCTTAATTATATATGACCACTTCATACAATAGTTATATCAATATAAAGCATTGTTTTCCCTTGTGTTTCTACTTCTTTCCCTGCCCAGCCGTAAAATGTGGTCATGCTATAGTTGCTCCAAAGCAACTTTCTAGTTGTCTTTTTAATGACTTTTTAACGGTACGGAGAGACAGAGGAAAGAAGACAGAAAAGCGCATGTGTGAAGCTTGGGTGCCAAAGAATTCATGCGAATTTTACAGAATTCATACGAATTTTACAGAATTCATACGAATTTAACGGAATTTATACGAATGTTACTGAATTCATACAAATTTTACGGAATACATACGATCCATTACGTGGAGACATACGATTCTTACTAATTTGGTGACTTGCGCCACGATCATGTGACATCGGCAGCAAATTCAAGATGGTGGACTATATAGCGAAGTTCTGGCTACATATTGTACCTTGGTTTTAAAGAAATTTATGAGCTTATACCGCCCTGCTAAACCCTAAACTGCACTTATGCGGGCTTCTTTCACGACATATTAGCCTGTACATAGTTTAGACCAAATAGCAGGGCAAGGCTGAGAATCGGTGGAACCGGTGGATCGCATGTTTCCGCGTAATGGATCGTATGTATTTCCGTAAAAGTCGTATGTTTCCTAGTAATGGATCGTATGAATTCCGTAAAATTCGTATGAATTCCGTAAGATTCGTATGAGTTCTTTGGCACCCCTGGAAGCTACCCATGACATGTTATTGTCCATATGCTCCCACCAACTCATTCCTGCTGTTTCTGTTTTGTCATGCGGAGTTCTTATCATACAATACTTTACTCCATAGATATAAGAAACAGACAGTCCACAAAATCCTTTGGTGTTGACGGGCATCCACGCACGGTCACTGTGTCTACAAGTGGGAATATAGCCGTGGCGTTTGCAGGGCATGGAATCGGCATCTATGACAGTGACGGTGTCATCCTCCTAGATTTCATGACAGTTGTGGAAAAAGGAAATGGAAGTATGACTCGTATTGACCCCCACGATGTTTCGTTTGGTACCATCACAAACGACGACGTTTGGATTGTAGGAAGTGATGGTGACATGTCCCACTACGTCGCATCGTATGACTGTTGTGGACGTTTTAAAAGTAGTTTTAACATTTCTTATACACAAATATATCGTAGACTTGCCCTGAACAAGATACAAACTCTTGTCAGTGTGACAGAGACGGTGAGACATCTCGGCGCGGTGAATGTTTTTAGTTTGAACGGGACGCTAGAGCGAAGTTTAGGGCGGCAGCAGGGCCTGATGTACCCAACAGGCATCGCATTTGACCACAATAGCTCCATTCTAGTAGTGGATTCCACCACTGCCTACGTTTACGTGTATCAAGACAGTGGGCGGTTCCTGTTTAAGTTTGGAGGAAAAGGAAGCAACAACGGCCAGTTGAGCCTCCCCCTTGGCATCTGTACGGACAGTTCTCGTCACATCATCGTGGCTGACTCCGGAAACAGGCGGATTGAGCTGTTCACAAGCCGCGGGGAATTTATCCGCTACATCGCTACTGATATTGACCCTCTGAGCATTGCCGATGGTCCAGGTGGTAAGTTAGCCCTGAACAAAGTGTATGAACAGAAAGTAACCATTCTGACAAACTATTAATTTATTGTATGATTATATATGATTTTATCCAAACTTTATTGTGTCATGCGAAAATTCTTTTCATTTATTACCTTCGACAAGAAGGCTATGTTTTTGGTTGTGGCATGAAATGTACGTCTGTATGTAATCAAGAAAATCCCAATAGCTGACAAAAAAGCTACCCGAATGTAGGACAGGCTCCGAGATGGGATGTTCAGCTGTCACCACGACTTTTGTTAATGCTAGCATCACAAATCCCAACCTAAGGCCCGGCCGGGCTGTTTCCATGGATAAAAAAAAAAAACATAATTCGAAAAAATAAAAAAAAGTTGAAAAACGTTTTGTATATAATTAATATGAATGCCCTGCTAAGTCCCGGTGCATATAAAGAAGTAACAACACACAAAATATGTTTGTATAGCTATTATAATTCAGACGGCTTTACAGCCAAAAGGCAAAGTACATCATACATACAAACTGCAAGTAAAAAAGAAACCAATGAAGCATTAACACCCCCCCCCCCAATTTTAACAATGGTACAAAATTTTCTAATTTCGAAAGTTTGTATTTATCTTAAACAACAAAAACATATTCATTCAACAAATTTAAATGCAACAGCATGCAGGGCTCTACACTCCAGATAATTCTTTGTACAATTCAACATCAGGTTGGAATTTTTTACTAACTTTACATTTTCACACTATAAGATACTGTACCTAATACCCGCTCCCAATTGGCTTTACATGTACATGTACAAATGGCAGTGAAAAAAAGGTGCAGTCCATATACTAGGTATCTAGGTCTGACTTGTTTGATTACTGCTCCATAAATAGAGATATGAGGGTGTTTGATCGAACAATGTAGACAAAAGAAATGGAGCCTTTGAAAATAAAAACCTAGCAATTGTCAACTTTTTCTTTCTCAGTCAATCTCCTTTGTGTTATGTCAATGCTTACGTACAATTCACAATGAAATATATAAAAAAAACCTCACAGTTACAATGTACATGACAATGTGAAGTTAGTAAGCACTAGCGGTCTCTCTCCATGTCTCTCTCTCTCCATCTGTACAACCACACTAACCTGTGCATCACATTTCAAATGAAATGTTGACAATTTTGTTACTACAATGTCATTATGATGCAGTAAACATATATCCACATTCCCCACTCTCTACACAGCCTCAATTGAACAACTGTACACAAAACAAAACTCATGTCTTACACATACCATACCCTTTACTATTAGTTGTGGCTCTTGTTTAATTCATTGAAATGGAAAATAGTAAATGTTTGTGGCTTATTATTTTCATACAGTTTACCTTTTTTAGAGTAAGTACTGGGCCAAACTGACTTATATTGACTATTTGTGCATCAAATTTTGTCTGCTTCCAAAACAAAGTTGAGTGCACTTTAAGGATAGATGTCAGATGAATGGAAGCTGGCATGATATAAAGCATGCTTGCACCACTAAGTCTCCCAAAGTCAAAGATGATGTGAAACAACAAAACTTATTTGATGAATTACTTGTTTGGTATACCATGTTCTGTCATTCGTTCATGGTTCCTGACCACTTAAATTCTAAAATAACCAAAACTTTTCTTCTATTCCCAAGCTAGCATCCATATACATTGTATTATAATCAAATCAGTGTGGCCTTAATTACAGAACCTGGTTCAGCATGTCTGTTGCCCATGTACCACTTCCATGTGGAAGAAAGCAACCGATGGAAGTGGATACAAACTGAAAATGGAAGGGCATCAGCAAAGACATCAAACAATCAACAACCAAATACCAGTAATTTTCTATAACTTTTCTTAAACAAAAACAGGCATAATGAAGTTTTTCAGCCTGCTTTCTATTGATTGAGTTTTAAAAATTGCAACACTGCGAAATTTGAGGATCTGTCAAATTGGAAGAAAGGGACCCTATACATGTAAAGCCCTTGTTACAGGTAACCAAATATGGCCTCTGGAACACTGCCAATTGTAAACTCTCCCCAACCATGGCTAGGCCACACCAATTTAATTTGTTGCTTCTCGGATTGCCTTGTCCATTTTTTTCTGATTTGCAAAAAAAAAGTTCTAAATTAAACTGCAAAATGCTCAAAGACATATGTTGGCCCCAATGGTTGAAGAAAGTCCTTTTCTTCCTACTTCTTAAAGTTTTTCAATGTAACAATGCAATTTTGTTTCATTGAAAGTTCAAAGTCTATATATATTATAAACCAGCCTGGTATGTTCACTTCATGGCTCATATTGTAACATTTCCAGCTAACATGGGTTGCCTTGGCCTGCTTTTCTTTTATTTCGCGCTGTCGCTTCATATTTTTTTTTGAAAAAATCCGAGAAGCAACAAATAAAATTGGTGTGGCCTTAGGAGTAGGTTGGGAGCAAGATGGGCTGAGGTTGGCTTGTGTTTGGTGAGGTTTGCTACTGTTGGCTGTGGCAGCAGAATGTTTCACAGAATGTGCAAAAACATACAGGTGTGGACAGAAGATTTGGCTATGGTTGGCTGGTGTTTGTTAGTACATAATTGTAAACATGTACGTATAGGTCAGTGGTCAATGGCTGGTAGTCAAATTTGACTCGAATATGATTTGCATTTAAAGGGAAGGCCTAAATCTGGCCAGACTGTTCCCGAACCAGGTTGGCTGGCATTCAGGGGGAAGGTTCTACATGTACATTTGTGACTGGGGCTTCAGAGACTCATGTCAAAGATGGTTTGTCTAAATACTGATAGCCTGTTCCATGGTAATGAAAGACAATGTAATTTAGGAGGGGGTTCCAAACAAAATCTGAATAAGAATAGTTCTTTGCTCACCAATAATGACAAATCCTGACATTGGGGATTCAAGATCTCCATGTTCCTTAAAGTATAATTTGGAAACTTGTAAATCTTAAACACTTGTTAAGCATGCACAACGAATATGTACATGTATTATGATGTACCTCAAGCACATTATAACATTCTTCTGTACAACATTCTATAATGTATAATTATAGGAATCCACAACTGGATAAATTCATCACAACCATCATCAGTAACATCCTAACAAGTCAATAATCTCAACAACATAGCAAAGATTTATACAAGAGTATGTGCCAAGAATTAAAAAAAGAACACTTTCTCTTCAAAATTTGCTATCTATTCAGTTGAATATAAGATGACATAATGATTCAGTCAAACTAGACAGCAAAGCAGAGACAATTTTGTTGCAGATACCAAACTAAAATATCCAACTATTGTTACTTACAATATCAATATTGAAACTGAAATAGTCACAGACAAGCTTTCAGGTAAATATTTGCTATCAGACATTAGGAAGCATCTATATTTTAAAACATTTTCGAGTCATTCAGACAGTGCTAGGGCACACAAATGTTTTTTTAGCCTTGCACCACTTTTGTGTAAAGCAACGATTGAATGTAATTTACATAATCTATGGCACCTTCCTTGGGAAGACTACCCTCAAAGGGGCCAATTCAATTTTATGAAAATGTGCAAAGGTATTTTAATTATGATCTCTAAATAAAAAAATAATAATGGTTACCCTAACCTTGTGTTTCGTGAAAGCCATTTATATTTTGCATATTTTAGTAATTTTTACAAACGTTAAAAAAATTTGGAGAAAGAAAATCTTTGTTTCTGGCTGAAAATGTATTCAAGATGGAAAATACAATGTTCATAACAATACATAAATGTCGTGTACATAGGAGTTTCAATAATACCTTTTTTAATGAAGTATTTACCTGAATGACCCCCCATAGATAGAAGGCAATACAATCATAGCAAATTTGACAAATGAATCTACATGTACATGACATATACTTGCATGTACTACATTATATCTCTAACTGCCAATACCCAGGATGTAACAAAATCTTGAATAAGACCTTGAATAACGTTGATAGAGGGAAAGACAGACAATCTGGCGATGTGACATCCCAATCTACATGTAGGTACATGTACCTTCCAGTCACAATATGTACCTCAGTACACAAGCCCACAGCAGCCTTTTGTCTACACAATCATACGTGAACACCATGTACATGTAGGAAGGCCTTCAGGACTGGTTATCTGCTGATGCTCTTGTACAGAATGATGCCCAGAGCTGCCACCACTGCCGCTCCAACCGACGCCTTCAGCCAGAATTGGGAGTTCTTACTCTGCATGTTCTTCAGGTGCCTGTGGGGTAAGAAGACAACACATAGTTAGCCTACGTGTATATGTTTGGGTTCAACAGAACAAAACTGCTTGTGTGTTGCACATAGATATCACTTCTGCTAAATTTCAAATGTGTGCATGTTAAAGGCATCCACTGCAATTTCAGGGCAACATGTCTCTGATGTTGTTGACATTTATTGTAATGACATTTCTATCATCATTTCATATGTATACTTGAAGCGTTTGAAATACCCCAAAATAAGTTATGTGACAAAACTCTTTATTTTCGTACGACCAATAAACTAGCTTAAGAAGTAGCCTAGTGCAAAACAGTTTAAGCCAGCTACATCCCATCTTTGCCTCACAGATATGATACTGTAATTATTATAATATTAAATGATCAATTAATTATCCTCTGTGGCACAAATACAATAGTTTGGTATCTAGCATTTTTGTATAAGGCCACAGCAAGTAAATTTTATGGATGACATCCTCCACACACAAAAATGACTAAAATTGACTTTGAAATTTACTGCTTTGAAGTTAATTTGGGTGCCTGAACACAAGTCAGTTTTTCGAGTGAATGTTGGCAGAAATGACCAAATTATCTTCTGTGACACAAATAAAATAGTTTTGTATCTTGAATTTTTGTATAACTTATAAGGCCACAGCAAGTAAATTTTATGGATGACATCCTCCACACACAAAAATGACTAAAATTGACTTTGAAATTTACTGCTTTGAAGTTAATTTGGGTGCCTGAACACAAGTCAGTTTTTCGAGTGAATGTTGGCAGAAATTACCAAATCATTCTCTGTGATGCAAATACAATTTTTTTTGTATCTTGTATTTTTGTAAAAGGCCACAGCAAGTAAATTTTATGGATGACATCCTCCACACACAAAAATGACTAAAATTGACTTTGAAATTTACTGCTCTGAAGTTGCTTTGGGTGCCTGAACACAAGTCAGTTTTTTTGAGTGAATGTTGGCAGAAATGACCAAATCATTCTCTGTGATGCAAAATAATAGTTTTTGTATCTTGTATTTTTGTATATGGCCACAGCAAGTAATATCTTATGGATGACATCCACCACAGACTCCAAATCTAATGTGATAGGGCGAAAAAAAAGATTCCTACATTTTCAAATTTTGACATCATAAACATTGTCAATCAAGAAAGGATACCTATATTTGTGCTAAATTTACTGCCAACAATTACAACATATATTTGACAATGAAACAACTTTGAAAAATAGGCTTCCAACTTGTACTTTGAATCCTTTCTACCTTTTATAATGGATAAATGTGAAATTACACATATTTTGCAACATGCCTCTACAATCATCATGAATACATTGTGTATAATCAAAATAGAACATCACTAACACATACTAATACGCTGGTTCATGGTTTGAACTGCGCATGTTTTAGGGCAAAGGTGACAGCCTCTGTTTAGTGAGCAGATCTTGTCAACGCTAGTTACATGTCCAAATGTGTTTAAATTTAATTATGTCACAATGTGCATATGCAGTCAAACCATGGACTGTCATAAAGGCACCTGACGAGATTTCAGGGTGGCAAAACTAGATGGTTCCCAAATTATTTAAAAAAAAAAAGTACTAAGCTGAATCAACCTTATCCCATAGCTGATATCTGTGCGGTAAAATTGTGATGTTGCTGATGGAAAACAGTTGTTTTTTTGTATTGTTTTGTTCCAGCTATTTATTGGTGGTACCAAAAAATAAAGGGCCTTCTCATGGAGCTTATTTCTGGGCTATTTCAATCAAATGAGATAATAAAAGGCAGATTTCCTCATCTAGAATATTTTTTGCTTTGCCACCCTGAAATTACATTGGATGCCTTTAATTCAAAATGACACCAGACTTAGAAGTGAGTACACATGAAATGCCATGCTGCAGAAAGGACATCACATACCTGCTTGGATGATAAATAATAAGTGTTAGAGGTAACAAAAAAACAAGCTTAGCAGTAATGCTGCCAAATAATGCTGAAAAAGGCAACAAAATCAGTTTCTTGAGTTGGCGTATGAAGAAAAAAAGTGGCTAGTTTGTATGGATGGTGAATTATAGCCTTATGAAATGTTCAATGTTAACTGAAAGCGTCAAGAAAAAGGCAGTAGATTTTTCAAACGTGCAGACAGACATCCCAAGAGAAGGAGGCCAGTGCAACTCTGTAGATTCTGTACATACTTCTTCTTCTATCATGAAATGTCAAATGTGAGTCTTGCTTTAGAATATCTCAATCTCACTTGTGATGAAACAATTTCGTGGAACAAGGTTTTTATTTACTTCTTCCTAGTTCTTAGTATACAAGACAATACTGTAAATTCATGTACTTTCGTGGTGTTTTATTTCGAGGTATGCGAAAATTACAGGTTTCCACATTTTTTCCAAATTGCAGAAAAAAACATTTCTGTAGTACCGTAATATAAGAAAATATTTCTTTTCAAACTACTAGTATATCACTGTGAAAATTTCAATATTAACAGTATCTTGTTCGACAAATGGCTTTTCCGTTTTACACTAATGGACATGTACATGTAAATTTAGGTATAATAAGAATGATGAAAGTGATACCAGGGCTCGAAATTCATTTCTAGGAATAGGTACACTGGTGCACCCAACCTAAAAAACTGGGTGCCCATTATTTTTTGGATGCACCATCTAAAAAAAAAAATTAAGTGGAATGTCAGAAAAAACGAATTATGTTTCATTTCGAAGAAAAAGTATAACAATAATAATTTTATTGTATTAATTTTTCTGAGAGATAGTTAGATGTAAAGATTGTGCTGTGTACTATACATCTAAATCTTTACATAATGTATGCCTACGGAAATATTTGAGTGCACTGGTGCACCCAGAGAAAAAATGGGTACACAGCTCCAAATTTGGGTGCACTAACTTAGGTGCACAGTATTTCGAGCCCTGGAGACACAAATGACTTGTGAAATGGTACAAGACACACGGCATGTAGGAGTGAAGTTAGTGACTGACCTATCCGGAAACCACGGGTTGCCCTTGCCTCCCTCCCCTTCTAGGAAGCTTTTGAATACGACATGCCCCACGCACGCACGCACAGACAAGATGCAAGGGAAAGAAACAACAGACAGAAAGGAACAGGATCAGGCTACGGACTATTATATATAACACTGCTACTCATGGTAGTGTCCTACGCTGTTCCATCACTTGTCTGCACCCCCTAGTAGGGCCTACAAAAAATACCTTCCTTTCTATTAAAAAAATCCTCGTAATACGTGTACAGTTCATCAAACCCAAAATTCTAAACTCACCTGTGACAATAAATGAAAAAAAAAAGGATTTGACGATAAACGATAAAACGATTAAAGAAAAAGTTTTTAATAAGTAAAAATTTGATGTCAGGAGTGTCTGGTTTGTGGGGGGGGGGTCATGACAATTGCTGGAACAGCGCAGGTTAAGTAAGAGACAGAGAGAAGTTGGTAGGACCCAGAACCTGTGTATTATGGGGGTGAGAAGAGAATGGCGCAGGACGTTGTAGGCCTTTTGGCACCAGCAAGTTGCACACTTGTCACACGAACACAAGCATTGCAACAGCCAGTGGCTGAAATAAAACGTGACTCATCAGATATGTCATCAACAGAGTCCCTGGCCTCCAGTTACGATCTTCACAATCTCCAAGCAGATGTTTTGGGGGAAATAAATTCTTGTTGGCATTCGGAGGGGTTTTCTAAACAGGGGAATAAGGGTGCTGCTCCCTCATGTAACCAGTCAGCTCCATCACTTTTCAGATTGAACCCTAAGTGGCTACTTACACACCATTTAGTATTTTTCAAAATGTTCTTTTCCCAGTAAAGATGTAGAAACAATACAACAAATTGCATTGTAGCATTATAAACTGTATTACTCTCTTAAAAAAAAAACCTTTGGTTGTTTCACTCTCTCATCATGCTTGTGATCTGCACCCTTGTGCTAAATTTTTTTCAGAAAAAACCCTGGAATGCGTCTGAGCTTTTCTGTGTCAGGCTCTGAAAAACCTTGATGATTTACAAGGCTGATAGCATTTATAGCTTTACGATGACTGTGCTAAGACAGAATTTAACCAGTTTTTACTTTATTCGTCTTTCTCAAAAATCTAGGTAGGCACAGGAAAAGTATAAAAAGAAGAAGACTTAGTGGTCCAATCTCTGTGATTCTTGAGAGAGATGAAAGATAAAGTTGAAACCGGTTGAATTCCATCTCAGCACTATCATTATCCCAAATGAACAATTTCCAAGGTTGATTTTAACCCCAACATCTGCTTGGAGATTACAAGTCTATCACCATGGCGACCAATTCATTGCTACATAACATTAGCCACCATTCAGATTGAATAGAGATACTAAGGTCCAGTACAATGTAGGTGTATCTCAGGCAATTATAGACAATAGGACTCAAACCATGCACGCACACAAGGGATCTAACTTGAAAGGAAAGTTGTTTCTTACAAGTAGAGTTAAAATTATCCAAAAGGATATGAGGAGGACTCAAATTTTCATTAGTTTTAAGAGATTGATTTGTAAGATTTAAAGTCTTTGGAAGAACAGGTTGTTTCTGCACACAGGTCAATCAGTATGCTGTGGTAGACTTTCAACACGGCCTCTAGACTTCTTTTGGACAATCAATAGTCAGAACCAGTTCTTGAGGTAACGTAGTACATTCTTGGCGTACGTCAAAACAGGCCGATTTACACCCAGGAAAATTTTACGTTTCTACGCAGTTTTTATGCGCTTGCATGTACATTAGTACATGTACAGGTAGTTTTCGTATGACAGGTTTTTGCCCGTGTGTGTAAAATCGGGTCTATACTAGAAAAGGAGGGTTACGAGGTTCCAGTGATGGCTAATAAGAAGCTACAGGTAGTTTTCTGAAAGGCCACCATGGCATACCTATATTTGTAATTATATTGATCACATCAGCAGAACATAGAATGTACTACACCTGCATGAAACCCAGATTTTTCAGTTTTCCTTGCTCACTGTTGCTTCAGAATTTTGCAGACGATACATCTTTTCTGACACAACATTTGAAAAACATACTTTTTAGACATCAGGATGTCATTGTTAAATTATACATGAATTTGGCCATAAACGAGACGTCAAAACGCTACAATGTATGCATTGGGCAGCAGTCTTTTTAGGGGAGAGGTGCTGCCCGATCGGTTGATACATTGTACCTCTCCGCAAAAAAATTGGCAAATTTATTCATGAAAATGCTAAATTAGAGAAAACCCTAAACTTGAACATTTTGGGAGGGGTGTTGGGATTTGGGCAGAGGGGGTGCACCCTGTTATGGGTTTCGCACAGGTGCAGTACATTCTGCCGACGTGCTAGTACTTAGTAGAGTGTAATGATAAATCTACAGTCTACACCATGCAGTCTGACCATGCTGGAGCTCTGCAGGCAGCCATGCGCTGAGTTACACTCATGCAGCTGTGGTTAGTATGGAAAAACAAGAAAATATAAAAACTCTGCCACGGCCACTACCACCGCTATCACCACTGTGGACGGTATGTTTGCACCGGATGAAAGCACACAGACATACACGGCGCTACTGTATGGTACCTACGTATGCCTGTGAACAAAGAGAGAGGAGCGGTCACCCAAAGTTTTTTCTTATGGTGCACATGTCAACAATGCCTCCTTGTAATCGACTAAGTCTTGACTTGACTAGTCTCGTAATTCAGTAACTGTTGTTTATTTTCACTGTGGCCTAACTTCTTGATGTAGGTAGTTTTCATTTTAAGTTTGCAATCGGAACAATAGTATAATTTGGAAACGCATATTCACTGCATCTCGGATTGAAATTATGATGACTGTGAGTATTAAAAATTGACATATAAAGATTTGCTCTTAAGATGCCCAGGAAAATCTGGCTCTTACAGTTATAATGTTTTACGTGATCACACATTACTAATTTAAAAATGTTCAGCTACAGGTCTAGCTACAGAAATATTTCTCAAAGGAAAACTGCAGAAAGTATTATCATTTTCAAATCATTGACTTCGAACTCTAGAAGGTAACGTTATTGACATGTGTAGCCACAAGTTTCAATGGTGCAATTTTTAATGCCACCCGTTACCCTGTATTTTCTCCATCACTATATTTTGGTTTTAAACAAATTTTCTGCTATTGAGATGAATGTTTGTTTAAAATTCATAAATTCATAGTTTTGAACATTTTGGACAGAATTCTGATGATTTCACAAAGTTAAAGTATTTAGTGCTTCCCAAGTATTTTTGGTAAAGGTAGTGATCAAGTACAAGTTTTCAAACATAATTATGTAACACTGTGCTACAACACTTAACAATAATATTTCATGTGATGCATACTGTAGGTTTAACTGTTACTTACCTTGGCAATATATTTTGTTTTACATATTAAAAACATTGAAAGTTACCTTTACCAAATGAGCTTGGAAAGCACAAGATACATGTACTTTTCAAGTGAATATAAATAATAATTGTAATTATCTAAATATACAACAAGGTGACAACATGTAACTATCATAAAGATAATACTATAGCACCGGTGAACATAATAACAAATGTACACAGCAGCTTCTATGCCTGGTGACTGCTCAAAAGCACTTGTCTTAAAAGTTCACATGCAATTCTTCTTTCAATCACTAGGTGTCTCCCATGCACTGTGCAGTGCTAGTGCAGTACTTACGGGTAGTTGGCCAGTGTGGCCAGTTTCATGTAGACGTCCCTGTTGACTGTAGTCTTGGTGGTGAAGCCCTGTGGTGGAGGCAGCTTGTACTTCTTACAGAACTCCTCAGGTTGGATGGGATGGTCCTGGGTTACCCCAGCCTGGTCAGCCTTGGCTCCAACTAACAAGCACGGCACCTTACTGTCTATGAAGTGTTGCTGTGAAAGTATGGTAAACATGGCTGTCAGAGATGGCAGGCTTCACTCCCTTTCACACACATGCAAACACACACACACACACAAACACATACACACAGAAACTTATTAATATTATAAGCAAGAAATTCTTTCAAAAAACTGGATGGGGCTAAGATGGGAATAGCTGGAATTTATTTTGTATTTTATGTTAAGCTGTGGTGCTTGCTAGATAATTTGCACAACTTAAGTACAGCGTCATTTTGCCTTGTTATTTTGAAAGAAATTTAAACAGACTTGGACTAAATCATGCTAATAAGACTTGATTTAAATACACGCTGCTTGTAACTGTAATGTATTATGAGCTCTTTCTAACGCAGAACAGATATTTTGTAATAGCAGCTACATGTATATGTAGTAAAGAATTGTGTCCCTTCTTGTTTCATTCAGCCAGTTTTCCCTCCTGACATCTGCTTGGTTTTTATTCATATGGTAAATGTCTTCCACAACCATGGACTAACAAAAAAAAAACATGTTAAGCAAAGGAGTACAAAAAAAAACAAAAAAACATTGTGCTGTAAAACTTCAGAGCTGCTAGCATGAATGACCTGGCAGTACCTTGTACATCCTGGCACAGTACTCGAATGTCCTTGGGTCGGTGACGTCGTACAGTAAACACGCCACGTCACAGTCCATGTCCTCAGGAGTCAGGATGTCTGAGATTCCCACATCTATCTCATGGAGCTACAGCAGGGACATACATGTCACCAACTTAGTCATATACCCTCAACACATTAAAGTTGGAAACTTACATTTGATCAGTCATTTCTCCATTGTTACTACTTTATCAATAATTTTATTGTATGCAGCATCATGTATATATCATTGAAAGGCTGATCACCAGGCTTCACAGTCATGGTACAAGAAGAATAATTTTTAGATTCAAAAGTTGAACAGTGCTGACTATGCTAGTTCATGACTTGAAATACTATGAGTGTATATGCACATTAGACATTACTGTACATCGTGTAGGTATAATTGGGGCTGTGCAAGTTTTTCTAATATCTACCTGTACCTAACCTCATGTACACATGTATGACTATGTACAGTATAGATGCAGGTATTGTTATTTCATGCAATTGACTGTTACCACACACATTGTTTGTACATGTATGGTGTTATGTCTAAAGGAAATATATCAACATTTTTTTAATAACTTTTAGTCCATATTTCCTCAATCCTGAATGGTGCAGGTATAAAGAAAAATTAAATTTTGAGCCCTGGAGTTACAAAAAAAAGAAAAGTACAGAAATCTCCTGCCAACAGAGGATGACGTGTTTTTGAGTTGATGACAAATAAATTTTGTATTCAGTGGGGTCGTGCGGTAGCGTGCGCGACTCCGAATCAAGAGGTCCCGGGTTCGAGTCCTGACATGCCACCGATCTTGTGCCCTTTAGAAAGGCACTTTACACGACTTTTCCCACTAGACTCAAGTGAAAATGAGAATTGTCTGTCCACTATTCGTTTCTATGTGCGGGACACAACACCAGCAACAGCTGCCTCTGTTCTGCGTGTATTGCAATTTCAATAAAAAGGGGGGGGGGAGGTCAGAAGATCCACACAAGTCTCGGCCTAGTCTTGTGTTCTCGCGAGACTAGGTCACTCCGTGAGCAAGGTGTACAGTCGACACCGAAAATTTGGAGGTACGTGTTTTTACCTTTAAATACAGTCACTGATTGAAGAATTTCTACTATCTAAAAATATACATATTTGTACCTACCAGTAAGTACTTGTCCTGTCCGTACACCTGTGTGAGGTTGATGGTGTACCTGGACAGGTGTTCCTTTGCCAGCCTGGACTGCCACTGGTCAGGAGGATAGAAACAATGGGGTCGTGTGGCATAACAAGTACAGGTAATACTACACATGTACAGTAGGGGCTAGTCCACTGGCATCATTGTGTGTTCAACTTCCATATACTTTTTCTTTAGCTGCATTGTATACAGTCATGTATACGCGCCGCGTACCTGCGAAGCTGGTGTGTTACGCCGAAAGGCGGTTATACCGGCTATACAGATACAGATGTTTGTACACATACATGTAGACCACATTTTGAGATCAATATACCATGACTTTTGTGTTTTTGAAGTATCAAAGACAGTATTTTGGCATTGCACATGTGGTCTTTAATTTTGCTACCTAACAAAAAAATAAAATCTAAATTTTGTCTTGAGACAAAAGAAAAATAGTAACTACTGCTGAAAACAGATATACCACTTGCTGTGCAACTGCAAGGTTACAGGCTCAAGTCAATGAATCCATTATGACCCGACCTGCAATTGTCTAAAATCACCAATAGGTGGCACAGTGTGAACTTACATTGAAGTACAAATATATGAAAAGCCTGTAATCTGCAGTTCCCTAAATGAGTGTGAACTAAGTAATTGATGCCTTTGGTAATGATTTAACCTGCAGTTCAACAAAATGACTGCTAGATAGCGCTGTTGTATGTGTTTTATACCATTTACAATGTACATTTTTTGTACAAGTACTAACCTCAGAGTTCCTGCCCAGATGTCCCTGTAGGAAGGCAGTCTTCCCTGCACCCTTGGGTCCGATAACATTACACTGGAACACACTCCTCATGGTCTGTTTCTTCTGTAAGTCTGCTCTCTTCTCCCGAGTTACTGTAACAGGAGAGATCACACTGGTGGGATTAGGGATGGAACACACTCCTCATGGTCTGTTTCTTCTGCAGGTCTGCTCTCTTCTCCCGAGTTACTGTAACAGGAGAGAACACACTGGTGGGATTAGGGATGGAACACACTCCTCATGGTCTGTTTCTTCTGCAGGTCTGCTCTCTTCTCCCGAGTTACTGTAACAGGAGAGAACACACTGGTGGGATTAGGGATGGAACACACTCCTCATGGTCTGTTTCTTCTGCAGGTCTGCTCTCTTCTCCCGTGTTACTGCAACAGGAGAGAACACAATGGTGGGACACATGGAAAATCTCTCTGGTATGGGTGACACGCATGTGCACAAAGTTACCCCAAAATCAAAATTAGCTTACAAGAACTTAAGAACCTTTTGGGGAGGGGACTTTGTGAAATTCCTGGCATTTTTATGGTACATTGCACAGTGTAGGGTTCTGTCATTTTTTGTTGCTGTTGTTCATGAAGTTGACTTTTTTTCACCCTATCACACATTAGATTTGAAGTCTGGATAGGATGTCAATAAAATTTACTTGTTGTGGCAGTTACTGTACTACAAAATTGTGAACTAAAAACCTCCTTTCCCATGATCTGCTATAAAATCAAGTCCCTGTGACAGTGTGAAAATAAATGAATTTCCTGTAGTTGTTTTAGGCCACAGCAAGCAAATTTTATGGATGACATCCTTCGCAGACTCCAAATCCAATGCGAGCAGGCTAAAACAAAACAAGGCAGGCCGAAAAAACAAGGTTCCTACATTCTCAAATGTTGACTCAATAATTGCACAAATGGTTTTGATTCAGTGGGAGCATCACATATACACAGCCAGCATCACATATCACTGCATCAAAGTTAAAAGCAAATTAAACATTAAATTAGAGCCTTTTCTTGTCTCCTGTCTTCATAGTTATCTGCCATCCACCTTCCGGTATGGCAACAGATATCTTTGTCCATTACATTGTATCTGTTTGTTGACCACTGGCAACAAAATTTCTTGTTTTTTTCTCCAAAATCTGGGAAAATTTAATGCATGCGCTGATGTCATCCATAAAAATTAATTTCTGTTGTTTTACCTGTGATAGCTGACAGCTGGTTCTCGTGTTCCCCTCCGATGTACCCGAGATACGCCAGGAACTCCATGGTACGGGGAACATCCAGGTACGTTGTCAGGCTGTCAATCATATCAGCAACATGTTAATCTCTGGTCTCCATTCTAGTCTAGCAAATTTACCAAGTAACTAGAAATTTAATATTTGCAAAGCAAATGTATTGTGTTTAACTTCATAATTATGTTCTAGCCTAACAAACTACTGCTCTAGTTATTGCTTATTAACTCAAACACATTCATTATATAGTATACGGTGAGCACCCCCCTCCCCCCGTTCTGTCCTGCTACATGAGGTAACACAGGGTGACTACAGTACAGCACCAGTTACCATGGTGACAGACGTCCGGTCCAGGTCATTGATGACTTTATTTCTTTGGGATGGAAAAGAAGAAAAAGAGAAAGGAGAAATAGAGCAAAAACAATATATTTTCCTTCTTCTACATTTTGTAAATATAACTACAAACAAGTCAAATAAAGAGATTCTTTTTATACAGCCTAGAGGTTAATTAAGCTGAACACATCAGACTTTACATTATGTATAGCAGCAACACCTGTGCTGCAGTGCAATGTGAACCAGTCAGATTTGCTCTGAGGAAGGTGACAGACGGTCACCAAAATGTTAGCTAAACACTTGCTTTTGAAAAACGAACCTATTATTTTAGTATTCAACCACAGAAATCTGTACCCACGTCCACTGGTTGAGGTATCCCTGTAGTGTGATCCAGCCTTGTTCATTGGTCACCACCGTGTTGTTGACATCTGGGCCCCAGGGCATGATGGGACACACGCTGAACAGGCTCTGTAGTTCTTCTGGGGACAGACAACCATCTTCATCCTGGGTGGAGAGTTAGCAGAAACTTTCAGTTTCAGTTTTTTTTTTCACCAGCAGTTACACTCAGGTGCATGTAGGCGTTTTTTTTGCCGGTGCACAATTTGCTTCAAGGGCGCTTTTTTTGCTTCGGAAGGTCAGCTGCAGTAACAAAAAGCGCCCCTGGAGCAAATTTTTGCACCGGCAAAAAAAAACGCTCCTGCAGTTTCAACGCAAGCAGCTAGAGACACCAAATTTACGTCACTTCTTCCTTACTTTAACAGCTTTCTACCACATAAAAATCATGACTGTAGCATGTTTAGAACAGGAGATACAAAGCCCGGAAGGTCGGCTGCAGTACCAAAAAGCGCCGCCAGGGGGCGCTAAAAGTCAAATCAAGTGGCCCGCGTACTTTTTCAAAAGAGTAATGTCTCATGAGTATTTGTACCAAGTTTGGTGCTTGTATCACAATTTGAAAGGTTATTTCAGTTATCTGCCCCACTAAAATTGTACATAACGTGTTTTTAGGCAATGCTGGGCATACAAAGCATGAATAACAGACTATACAATATTACGAAATCACATGCCATACAGAATGACATAACAACAAAAACAATGTATTGTTGTACTAAATAAAATTGGTCATTGGGTTGTTTGCTTATTTTCTATATATCGTTGTCATCTCCAACACCAACTAATCCCTACAAATGTAGGCCTCTCAATCTTTTTTATACTTTGTTCCAATGTGGAACTACATGTACATTGTACATGTATCATCCGGGCCGTCATGTACATAACTTAACTGTTACAAATAACAATTTGTAGTTACAATTGTAGGATAGTTTACATTACATGTAGTTCTGTAGTATTGTTGTTTAACTGCCATACATGTACATTGCTCCATGCAATACAAAGTTAGTTTGTTCCCTCACACATCCATTAATTCATATAATCTAAAGGTTCTGGGTTCGAATCCCTAGCAGATCCTAATGTAGCGCACTTGGGAAAGACAGTTTCCAAAATCTATCCTTGCATATCTCATGATCTGGATGTCTAACCTTCATTGAACAAGGCTCAGTGCTTAAAATTTGATTTGAGAACCCTGAATTATCATAAGTTCCATTTCTATCTATCCTTCTTGGAGGAGTCTTGATATACAGTGAATGTGGAAAAAAAAGCATGGTTCTGTTAAGTCAGCTAGCTGCACACTTACCACGTCATACTTTTCAAACAGCATGGTGAGGAACGAGTACCCCTGGTGAGTCAGCTCGGTAGTGCAGCCGACGGGGATCTTAAAGCTGAAAAAAAAAGGACACAAACAACATTCAGCAACAATGACACAATGCACCAAGAGGTCAGGGGTTTGAGTCCTGACATGGAAAGGCACTTAACACAACTTTCCTCACTTTACATGTACTTTATATGTGAAAATGAGTATTGTATTGTCCCCTCTGTTGGTGTTGGCATTAATATAAGGGGAAAAAAGTCGAGTTTGTCCCCACAATATCTTGTGATAAAATGTTGGAATATAAAAAAAATGACAGAATTCATAAATTACCTAGGATAAAGCCTTACACATATACATTGCACATTGTGTAGTGTAGGTACAGCTCTGTGAAACACAGTTAAATCATTCTAATATAGTATGCAACTTTTGGAAGCCTATGTGATAACCAAATAGAATCATGTGTGTTCATTATTACACAGGATGGAACACCCTATCAAACTTTATCACAATCCAGGTATGACATAAATAATGTAATTAATAACATTAGTAAATTACCTTGGATAGAGGTACTCCTCTGTGAGTTGGAGGTTGTCATCGTAGCCAAACTTCCTGAGGACTGTCCAGGTGGTCTCATGTCTGCCTCTCTGTATGAACAACGTGTGCAGGAACAGGAAACCTGGGGAGGGGACAGGAGGGGGGCAACAAGCAGCTGGTTTACTTCCAAAAGAATTGTTTGCAGTGGCTGAGCTGTACCAGTATGTTTATCTATTTAGTCCATGGGCCAGAGGAGATATCGGTACCACCTGAGGTGGCAAATTCTCATTATGGTTTTTTAAAAGAAGGGTGTCTGTACAAGGGCCACTGGAAGTGTAATTCAAGCCACTCACACATTGAAAACATTCCCCTACACTAACCAACCAACCAACCATCCAAGCTTGGTCAGAGCGGTTGACCAGATTTAGTCCACACCTACATTGTACCTTTCCATACAACCGAATTTGAGTTAATTTTGAGTCAAATTTGACCCCCAAACATGCCCCGTACACTACAGACCTACTGTACTGTACATGTATTCCTGAACACCAGACAACCACCAGAGTCAACCATGACCTAGTCAACATTGTACAGTAAATGTTTTAAATATTTTGAAACATTCACCTGGCGCAGCTGTAGCTGTAGCTTACATGTAACTTCCCAAACACCAGCCAACCACAGCCAACCTTGCACCTAACCTTCAGGTACATGTAATCCTAACCATGGTTGGTAGGAGTTTGGCCAGTGTTTGGGAGGCCATATTAAGTTATGTGTGACAGTCACGAGTGGCTAAATATGTTCATGGTAGCAAAAGTTCACGGTCTGAGAAAAATGGACATGTTCACGGAACTATAATATATATTCATGGTGGCGACAGGTGCAGGAATAAGAAAGTTGAGGAGCTATTTGTTAACTGTAATGATAAGTTCACAGTACAGAAGTGACAGTGAAAATTGTGGACATACATGTACAGTACCGTGAAAAAATCAGGAATTACTGTAAACAGTAATTTTATTGACAGGTGTTGCAACGTAATTTTCCACATTTTATGTTAATTAGCAAAGGTATTTCAGACACCACTTCATGTTGTACGTCTGCTATTTGCTAATAAAGTCATATCAGTAGGCTACTGTATAACCCAGACCTGGCAGTGTGAGTCCGTTGTCCCTGGTACCATCAGGACAGTTCTTCCTCACCACAGCCTTCACATCCTCCAGGGCCTGGGGGGCCAGCGGAGCATTGAAACATCTCTTCTGTTGGGACAAACAATCAACACACTAAATTTATAAACCATTCTAACAATCACATACAAATACATGTACAACAAGGCTGGCAATTCGGCAATGGAATTCTTTTTTATTTTATTAGACAAATAAGACTATACATGTATATAAGAGCAATGCAACAATGGTACAAATTATTATTCATTTTATTATTCATCACTCTTTGCAGCTCGTAAGCAAGTTCTCATTTACATGTAATATACTATGTAATTTATACAAATTTGAAATATGCATATAAACCTAGTCTAAAAATTAACAATTGAGACTAAAAGTTATAATTCACAATTAATTACATACATGTACATTTTGTACTAGTAGATGCCATCATTTAAGTAGACTGTATTTGACAGTTGTATGAGAGGACTGAATACAAAAAGGGGGTAGCAATACATGTAGATACATTGAACATGTAACTGAAAGTCACATTTTTTTTTACACAAAAAGGTTAAGCTCATTGATCAAAAGAGGTCTTAATGGTCCATCAATTAAGAAGTAAGAAAATAACGAGTTGGCACAAATAAAATAAGCTTAAAAATAGATGTCTGACTCATACAAACCTGGAACTCATTGAGCTCTCTGTCTTTTAACAAACCATCGTTGTCAGCATCACAGATCTGTGAACAAGAACAACAAACTTTGTTAAAATGAGTTTTTGGGGCTGAGCAATGTATCAAGTACATCATTGACTGTCCTGTACCTCAAAAGCAGCTTTCTGGAAAAGATTCGAAAAGTAAATTTCAAGAAAATTATTAGCAAATTTCAAACAGCATTGTAGGAAGTAGTTGCTGTTTAAACAATTGTGTCTTTATTTACAATGCAGTTCTTTAGAACACTAAAAAGTTCAAGGACTCGATGTTCTACAAAAGGTAAGGGGTCCATTAATGATCTTTGTCTGAGTGTCCAAATAAGGAGCTGTACATTCTTAACCTCGTTATCTTTGTCATCCTTGAGGATTACTGATGCTGTCAGTAATTAGTACATTGTAGATCATTCTGCTTATGGTTTAAATTCACAATTCTTTACTTGATTCTACATGTACAAGTTCTGCAATGACCCCTATCTTACCGTGAATATCCTTGTCAGGGCCTTCACACAGGGGACTTTCAACTGGAAACAAGAATAATGGCTTGAGATACAAGTTACTACATCCAGACATCCAATTCTGTCATTCAAATATTTCAGTTAGCAACTGTCCTTCAAGTTTATAAGGCATGGATGTGTGTTACAGGTAGCCAAAACTAAAAGACTATAAAAACCATCCTCTGAAAAAGATCACAAAAAGATGAAAATTAGATAATTTAGCACTTGTTTAAAAGATACTCTAGAGTTATTTGGAGTATCGAGATATATGTACATGTACATGTATAGTAACTGAATCAGATGTAACCATGAAAATTCTTAAGCAGTGCAAAAAGTTACATTATATGCATTATGTCCACGGAAGACCTTAGAAGGCTAGACAGATGTGACAACGCCATGATTAGATGGATATGTTCCAGTAGACTGGCTGATAGGGTGTCAAGTGATCAACTTAGGTGTAGGTTAGGCGTAAGCAGTCTACGTGAGATCTTGCGTTACAACAGACTGCGCTGGTATGGGCACGTGCAAAGGATGGACCCGCAGAACTGGCCAAGGAAGGTCATGACAATGCCCGTAGAGGGACGAAACCCGCGTGGTCGTCCAAAAAAGAGATGGGTAGACAGTATTAGGGAAGACGTGAAAAACTTGAAACTGCAGAAGGCCAACCCGCTAGACAGAAGCAGCTGGAGAGCAGCTATTAGACCCAAACGACACCCCACGACGTCCAACCCTTGTATGACGGGGAACAACGGACGCTAAGCCGTGCAGTGAGTGAGTGAGTGAGTGTGAGTGTGGCGAGCCGCATATCATCACCAGCCAAGAGAAAAGGAAAAAAAGGATATACATGTACATTGAAAACTACACATCATAATACCTACAAGTAAACTGCTGTAGCTATATCTGAAAATTCTTCAGGTACACAGGCCTGTTACTTACATTGTACATTTTGTGACACGGCTATTGTACATATACACCCTGGAGCATTGAAACTGTACTACTACTCTGGCAACTAATTTTTACAACCATGGAACTCCATGTTACAACTGACTGCTTCATAACGATATTGTATAAATAATTGTACTTGAGGACATGATATATATTATATTGTCCATGAAAAGTGTTTTTAAATCACATTTTAAAATGTTGCAGTTTTTATCTGCTCTACATGCATTTCAAATATTGTCAAAGTTGTAAATGTTGGCTCAATGCATGTTTCGAAAATTTCATCAAACATGTCATGCCAATGTCAATAAAGTTGAATATGAATGTACATTTTAGTTCTTGTAGTAGTAGTCCACTCTGTTCTGCTGCTGCAGTAGCTTAGCATCCTGCAGCAACAATTAGTTCTTGTGGCTGAAGTTTTACCTCTTTCTCCTCTGCACAGTACAGAGGTGCTGTGGGATGTAGAACTGCCTTCTGTGCATAGTAGAACAGCTCTGAGATGTTCTTCAGATTTCTCGCAGAACACTGAAGAAAAAAATTAAAAATCTAGTTCAAGACCAGTAAAAATGGAAAAATATTCAAGAAATACAATATTTATCTTAACAATAAATACTGATCTGTTACAACAAATTGTTGATTGGGATTTTGTATCAAATTTGCATTCGATTATCAGTTTTGTTTACCATATCACTATACCAGTCATATCATAGTTACTTTAAACAACTAAGAATACTAAAATTACACTCACCTCAACACAGGTTTCTACCTCTGGGAACTGATTCATTACTGGTATGATGGACTGAAAGGTAGAAAATAACAATAAATGAATACAATTAAGTTATAGCTAACATTTTGTGTTGAACGTATATGCAGAAAGCAAAAATGCAATTTGTTGACTCTATATCGTACAGCCAAATTTTTAGATTATTAAACTGGTATAACAATCTTTATTCATAGTATAAATTACACCATGTCTGATTATGTAAGAAACATATAAATTAAATTACCTCCATTGAACTCTCCTCTTGAAGATCAGACTGAAAGATATTAAGAATAAAAACTTGACTTACAGAATCCTGACTTCCTATTGGACAGATTTTTGTAGTAAAAAATCCTGAGCTCCTATTGGCCAGATTTTTCATAGTAGAACATCCTGAGCTCCTATTGGACTGATTTTCACAGGATATTAAAGAATTTTGCCTCAATCAAAATTTGAGCTCCTACTGGACAGACAGAAAGTGGTTGTATAAGACAGGTTATGAAAGCATCAAAAATATACTAACTTCCTTAGGTCAAGCAGGGACCATACTATTATATCATATGCTAAATTGTAACAGAATTTAGTCCAAAGGAGAAAGAAACAAGAAGCCATAGGTGACAATTCTCCGTGAAGTATTATATATTGCAACAAAAAGAAGTAGCCATTGGCGACAATTCTCTGTGAAGTGTGATAAATCGAACAAAGAAAAATTGTTTAAACGCGCGTCGGCTCAGTAATCTTAAGACGCAACAACCAATCAGAGATGCGAGATGCCTACACGTGACGCGGGAAGGGCGCGCGATGCCCGAAATATTTTTGCGTCAATATTCAGCGCCGTGATTCAAGAGATTAATACCCGGAAACAATTTTTTTCTTGTTTTGAACGCATTAACATGCATTTACGCTAATCTAGTATGATTCAGGGTTACTTTTTTTTTAACCTGCCATGGCCAGATTATCTAAAGATGTGTGTATTGTGTGTACAATCTATAGAAAGAGAAATGTACATCAGGTCCGATCATCCGATTTTCACGTTTCGGTTTTTGGACTCGGTTCATGAACGTATTTTGGTTTGGCTCCTGGAATGTGCAAAAAAATGACTCTCGGGACTGTCTACAGGGAACACTCGCACATTCGCGGTGTATCAGGACAGCGCGACTGGTCGTCATTAGCGCAGTAACAGTTGCATAAACGGACGAAACCATTTCAAAGAAATGGGGATGTTTCGAAAATAAGCATTTACTCCAATATCAAAACAGCTACGGTAAAAATAAAAAGACGTGCATCATCCCGGACATAATGCAACACCACATGCGAAATTACACAGAAGATGCGACGTACGGAAGAATGCGTTTTGGCTGCGAACATCTTCCAAAAAACTTGGCATCTCTTAACCATGGGCAAAAACATCTGGAACCACTTATAAAAACCACCCCGTATCTGCATGAACTTTTTTGAACCCCACTGCTATTCCAAACAACGCGTTTTTCTGGACCATTCCAATTCGCCTCGTAATTGTAGGGGTGCGTCTGCGATATTACATTGACCGCGAAAGCAGCAACGGCAAAAATACACATTCGTGCATCAACACGGGCATGCCCGCAGACGGCGTATAAAATTGCGTGCCGATTACACAAAGAGAACCCAGTGTTTTGACTGCGAACATGAAAAATCAGCCGATTACAACACTCCGTCCGGAGGTCCTGACCTCCTTCACGGAGTAACAAACAAACAAACAGTGTCTGTCCCAGCTCAGTCCTACCTTGTTCCCTACCAGTAATACTGGCATCCTCAGGTCTTCTCCTACTGTCTCATGGATAAATGGTAACCACTTCTGGGTGATCTGGAAAATATAAATTTTATGTAAACCATTCATAATACCTTTAAACTAATAGCAAATGTATCATTTTCTAGTAAATACTACTTTATATTCATCTATCAGTGCACAAAAGCCAGAAATGTTTGTATAAACCCAGGCCTACCATTTGAACAGAATAGTCATTGTCCACAGCATACACAATGCAGACAACATTTGCCTGCAACACAAAATAGACAAATTAGTCATGTTATTCAATAATACTTATATCAAGTGGATGATATTGTAGGGAATATATATGGATAGTCTGTACTTCATAATCTGAATAGCCCAATGTTTAAAATGACTAGCCTATAAGGAGTTAAATAATATATTGAAGCATAATTTGATTTGAAAAATATGTCATCTACTTAACAGAATCTCAAAAATACTACATGCATAGTTCAAGAGAACTCTACTAGTATATTTTGTAATTTCAGTATTATTTAGGTATGTATGAAGGCATTGACAAGTTAGACTTGGATTGTATGAATTGTACAACATGTAGTCCTATTAGAAACTTACGAATTACATTATTGCAGAAGATATTACAAAATAAAGATAGAACCCTTACCCTTAGGATTTCATCTTTTAGCTGATCTGTTGTCTGTTCTTGTGCTATAAATAAGAAACAGCAATTATAATGTAGTAAAGGGGATTAGATATGGCTGACTTCACTCCTTTACCCAAATTGCTTTGCAACCCTTCCAGTCCAGTTAGATGAAAATGGTAGTACTGAGGGTGTATATGGATCTGGAAATGGGGTAAAATGCACTGAAAGTTAAATGCAGAGCCTTTTGCAGTGGTTGTAATTATATCTATATGCCTGAATATGTGTATTTCCAATGTATTACAGAATTGTTTCAACAACAAACTTTACAAGCTGCAAATGGGACCAAACCCACACCAACTCATACATGTACATGTATATGAAAAGCTATCTGCTCTCAAAAATTCAAGACCATGGCGTAAAAGATACAAAAGTTGCAAGTCCTGCTGCAGTACCATGGCCAACCACCAGGAGGCCCAAGTCGCCCAACTTTGACTTTGACCTTTCTTTTTTCATGACCCACCCACCCACTTACATAATAAATATCATTACAAACCATAAATTTAGGGCTTCTTAAGTTGTGCTATATTGTATATCAACCACAAGTTCACTGACACACACACTTGTACATAACATGCGGGTTAACACCTGGAAAACCTTCTTTCCCCTTTTAATGTGAAAGTCTTCCTTACTATAACTGGATGTACAGTACTAGTAATGGACAGTACTAATGGTGGTATCTTACCGGAATAGTCCACTATGTGTGTGGGGACCTTCTCCGGAGTGACATCAGCAGGAATGGTGATCTCCTCTGCACGGGGAGGGACCTGGGGGAGGGACAAAATAAGTCAGACTTCCCTGTAGCATTTTGTGTTTTCCTGAACTTACTGGAATGTACATGTTGCAAGGTCAGACACACTTGATTGCGATGCAGACACTAGTTTATGATACAACCAAATTCTAGTAACTCTATATTGTTTACCCCTCAAAATGCACTAGTACAAATGTATATGTAATGTTTCAGGTCAAGATTATTAGGGCCCAGAACCCATTAAATTAGGATTGTAGCTTTGACATGTCAAATGATATTACATTACACAAAGTTTGAATGACACACAAATTTCTTGCTGGCTAGAATACTAATGGGCCTAGACCCTACAATGATTACTGTTATTTGTCTCTCAATGAGTACTATATATATATATTATAAGTACTGTAGTCTAACTTTAAACTACATGTCATTACCTCATCTGGAAATTCTTCACTCACAAGGGACAGGATCAGTGAAGTTTTTCCTACTTGTGCTGCAAAAAAAATAGTATGAAGATTGTTAAGGTACAAGTCAGACTATCTATAATATATGCTACATATGAAACAGTCAGAAGGCTATTTTCAACAGTAAGCAAATCCATCCCTCTGAGTCCTTGCTTATTCTGAGAAGCCATGCAAGTGGCATTCAATTTGTAGTTATCACAATCATTAACATACAAATGTACCATAGGGTAGCTATATAGTACAATGGAAAAATTAGATGCATCATGTAATTTATTGTAAACACAATGGCATCTGTCTTTCTGTCATTTGACAGTTTTCTCTGACATAACAGAAAAAACCTTGCCGAATCTGTCATCTTTATACTATTATTATAGACAAAAAATTGTGTGTAAAGATATAGAAAGAGATGTCATACATGTATCTGCAAAATTTTCCCCTAAAAATGCCCCTAAAAGAAATCAGAAGGAGTATCTTGTATGGCTGAACAATTTTGTTGAACAGCCTTGAAATTCTAATTAACTTAACATGATTATACCATTAAGCCATGTACTTCAATTTAATATTTCCCCAAATTTTGCAACTGGATGACTACTGGTGTTTGTTTCATTTCTCCAAATCATCATCAATACATATGTATGTTCAAATCTAAAAAAAATGTGATTCATAAAAAATCACAAATCATAATAACCTTATCATATTAAACGAAAAGAAAAGACACACTTTCATCAAATAATCCATCATGGCATGGTATTAATAATAATATCATAGTAATAAACATCACAACAATGACATTCATAAACATAACAATATGATAACATATAGACTAGTAAACATTTGCAGTTTACATAATTTTCATTTCCTTCCTTCACACAATTGCTAGTTTTCTTTCAAGCTCTCTAAATCTCAAAATTCAAAAGTCATGGATTCAGAAAAAGAAAAAAGAAAATTCCTAATTCTGCTACTGATTGGGTGCCTGACATGGCAAATCCATTTGGAAAATTGCTTCCCATTTTGCATTTGGGAAGTGGCCAATGGTTACAATATAATGATTGGAGATGCAGTCAATATTGATTTGAATGTATCGATAAAACACACATATCTTTATCTAGCTGGAACAGTAAGATGCTGATAGTGCTATCATCTTAACTACAGAAGAGATAATTCAGTTTGCGAAACATGACCGTAAACGGCAAGGTAGAAAAGAGGGAGGGGCCACAAAATTTCCACGTGATGAAGCTAACACGACAGGAAGTTAGATCTCTGGGTACCACATAAAAAACAGAGTATAAAAAAACATGCTTCTATCAAAATGTAATTTATCTACAAAACATTCTATTCACAATACACACGTATAAGAATAGACTAAGGTACCGTACTACGATGTATAGGCCAGATCACTCGCACTACTAAATCAATACTTAATTTGCGACCTATATAAATTGGTGGGGGAGGGGGGCAGTGTACCGTAATAGTATGTGTAGTTCTGTTACAAATTATTTCTACTTACGTTCTCCTACAAGAAGGATCCTCACGTCCCTCCTCATGCTCATGGTGGCGTCCATTGTTCTTAGAAATGAGGCGACTGTCTTTGAGAAGAACCTGGAGTCCTTGGTTCGAGTTGTGCAAGCTCGCTGCCGGTGTCAGTCAGTCCGCCCTCCCACCCCACACTAGCAAACCGAGACCGTTTTCTGTAAAATTTCCCACAGCGATGCCGTTTCTTTGCAGTTCTACCTCTTCTGAGAGCACGATCCTACTGTATATCCAGCATGGTGCCCGAAAAACCCTTCCTTCCGGTGGATTTGGGGAGTTTTAGGCGTTTTCGGTAAATTCTAACCTCCAGACGATCATCTTCTCCAATTTTTAGCGCCTTCCGGTACGCATGCGTCGTGAATTGACCAATCAGAAGGAGCGTTTCAACCGGAGGGAAACTTTGAACGCTTCTTTGGACTTTACCATTTATAGATAGGGGACACCTGAAAATAAAGTACATAATTCTAATGTAGTGTACATTAATCTAGGAGGGCTAAAAAGGATTAATGGTAGATTCAGGAAGGCCAGCAACATTTGATTGCTTTTCGTATCTATTAATATTTTGTACTTAAATGGGCCATATAAAAGGTACTAAAAGGCTGTTATGCTTCAGATTTAGGCCATGTTGATTTGATTATATGGATGACATCCGCGCGCGATGACATTTTCGGCCGTTTCCAAAAAAAAAAAAAGTTTTCAACCATACTGTAAATCGTACAAAACAGTTGCAAAATGAGCAAAAATATACCATAAGTTACAAAAAGAATTAATAAAAACTATACCAATGTCGTAGAATGCCAAAATCAAACGAAAAAAGACGAAATTGTAAAGAAATGAATTTGAACACTAGATTATTCGCCAAACCATATTCTGTGCCATTTGCTCAACCCTCATGACCACGTAGATTTCATCATGAAAAGAACTTTTTTTTTGGCAAAACTTTTTTTTATTCGCACGCTCGCATCAGTTTTGGGGCTCCCGGAGGATGTCATCCATATAATCAAATCAACATGGCCTTAGGGAAAAAGCATAAATTTTTGAGTTCACGATCGTTCTATCACAAAATCCTTATTTTATTCTGCCAGTCAGCTCCATTACTTCGATTAAACAATCCGACAGCGAACTAAAACATGAAAACTGGTGAAACTATTCTCTATGTACAGTCTGGTCTTTCTTCGTCCGCGTGCAAGAGATGGCGCCATGTCATGGTGGTGGATTCAGTTTCATAATGTGTAACATTACTAGTATTCCGGGGGGATCCCAAGCGATCGCCTGTATGCGAATCATCTATGTAGCCTCTACCAGGCTTCAGGAAGCGCCTGGAAAGAGTAGAAATTTGCCAAATAGATAAAATGCTAGTAGTTGGTCCGCTTAACAGTAACGTTACAGTATGTTGCTTAAGCTGCTTCCCGAAGCCTGGTATAGGCTACTAATCCCAGACCGCCTTCCTGTCCTCTCAACGCCACCGTGCAGTTGGTGCACTGCAGCACTACACCGCCAGGAGGAGCAGCAGCTGCACCGTCAGTCCGTCAGGATATCAGCGTATTGATGTTAGAAACTAATTTTGTGTGCATGTGTGATTTTGTGCATCTGTGTGTGTGTGCATGTGTGATTTTGTGCATCTGTGTGTGTGTGTGTGTGTGCATGTGTGTGTGTGTCTGTGCGTGTGTGTGTGTCTGTGTGTGTCTGTCTTTGTCTGTGTGTGTGTGTCTCAGTGTGCGTGTGTGTGTGCGTGTGTGTGTGTGTGTGTTTGTGTGTGTATGTGTGTGCGTGTGTGTGTGAGAGAGAGAGAGAGAGAGTGCATCTGTGTGTGTGTGTATGATTGTGTGTGTGTGTGTGTGTGTGTGTGTGTGTGTGTGTGTGAATGTGTGTGCATCTGTGTGTGTGGATATAGTCTCAGTGTAAATAAAGATCAGTAAAGTCCCCATGTGTATGTGACACACATGTATGTGACCGTACGTACAACCAGTGATGCTGGAGTTTAATAAACATCACCAGAGAGTCCCTTACATTAGCTTATATAAACCGGATTATGTTTTCCATTCTTTTTTGGTTATAAAAAAGATGCAGACACGGTTGACTTAAATGTATCTTGACTATGGATGCATTTATGGCACGTGGTTGCAATCGCTGTGGATGGCTACATTTTTTTTTCTATCATGTGCTAGTGTAAACAATAGCCTGGATTGTAACACTCCTGGCTAATCATTGGTTTACAGCAAAGTTGCAAAGTTCTAGCTACATGCAGAAGTCCTGGTGGTGGAGAGAAGATGCCGGTGTACTATTGTTTTGAATGACTGGAGGTTGTTGTCAGTGATCCGGCCCACCACGTTGTCTGGAAGACTGTTCCAGATGTCACCTGTAGTATGTATTTGTCCAGAGTTTTCTTTTGGAGTGCTCATATCATTACACTGTACCACAGAAAATAAAAGACCATGAAAGTGCAAACCATGCATTGCAAAAACGGCCTACATACCGTACAGTACTCTGAACCCAAAAGGGAAACGCAAGGTTATCTCGTTTTGAACAATAACATCAATGGGATGTACGCATCAACTTTCAAAGCTACGAGTTAGAAAATGACGAGATATTTATCACGTACATTGCGAATTGTAAGAACGTGAATTGAACATTTTTATCTGGGATGTCCAACGTTACATATGTATATAGATCTAGTGATGTGGTAACAAAAGCACTCACAAACCATGCAATATTAATGCCAAAAATGTTGTCGTCCTGTCTTTGAACACCATTTCCCGTGCAGCGTTTGAATGTCTGTGTTTGCGAAACCAAGTTGCGAAACCAATACGCGAGAAGTTCAATGAGTTCCTTCTCTTGTAATGATTCTCTTACCGTGATAAACAATATTGCTTCAGCTACACTGGTAATCCTATGACAGTAATCCATATCTGAAATGGTCATGAAATACCTCAAAGAGCAACGTGGATTGTTCCACAAAAGTTTCAGAACTGCGTGCACGCAACGATATGCAAACTTATGACCTATAGATACATTTATATCATACCCGGGCCGCGATAACGTTCGATAACGCGGGTTCCAGACCGGGCCGTACTTTACGGTACGGCCCGGTCCGGAACCCGTTATCGAACGCTTCCATGGCTTCCATAATACGATTCGAACGCGTTTCGCCCTAACCGCGTGTGCCCCTTTCGAAAATTCGAATACAGAATCCGGACGTTGGAACTGATGTTGTTGCATCTGAGGGTCTAGTGGCACCAACTTTTGGCTCATCTTTCATTGAAAGGCGCGTTTTCTTGGGTGGGTATGATATAAATAAAATACAACACGGTGTATTCCGCATCGCCCTCGGTCCCAGCCTTCCCGCGAGTCAGATAGCCCTCCGGCCTATTGTTTTAGAAGAAACTTTAAGCCACGTAAAAGCAACATCAGTCACAAAATGACGAATCAATCGATTCAACATATTTTATTTTTATTGAAATTCTGTTTGGCGTAGCTGTTGTAAATTTGTCGTAGCTGACATTAAAACAATGTCTGCTGTCTTGTTTACTGTATTGAATCTTTACACTGCAGGCTTCTTTGACTATCCAAGTCAATGAGAAGCTCTTCTAAATAACTTTACATATTTATATACTGACAACTCATGCCATTCACGATTTGATTATTGCTATTATTCTTCTGTTCTTGCAACCCGGGCATGAATGTGCATATAATAAAACATTTCATTATAAACTCTATAAAGACATTTTATAATAAACTGTATAAAATTCTGTACATATCATGCAAGAACTTTACAAGAAGACCTTGGAGGTTTACAGATTAGTTGGCTAGCTCAACGCGGCCCAGGCTAATAGGAAAGTATCATCCCACACATATATAATTCATTAACTAACACACATACATAATTGATTCATAGAGAATGAAATTATTCTTGCTGTTAAGAACTTGATTTCGCTAATTTACTACATGATTTGTGATTATAGAATCAAGTAAGGTTTGCCGGAAAGAGTTGAAGTTAAAAAGTTACAAACAAACAAACAAACAACAGAAAGTACTTAGACTGTACACATCAATGAATTGCTGACGGATTGTTGTGTCACATCGGCGGAACTTAACTTCACTGTTATATATACAGTTCACGAGTATATCCACCATTACATTCACTGTGATAGTCACCATTACATTCACTGTAATAGTCACCATTACATTCACTGTAATAAGTTCACTTCACTGTTGTAGATTTGTGCATCATTGCCTAACAGGCAACTTTCTCCCTTTCAAATCGCCTTGGTCCACCAAGCCAGGCATCAAGATCATAATATAGGCTTCTCCAAACGCCATGCAGATGTTCTTTGACTTTGTTGTCCACATCGTCGTAACTATACGGGTCCAGATAACCCAGCTTGGTGAAAACATCACTGAATTTTTTGTAATGTGCATCAAGCTCTTTCGTCATCTTGCGTATCTTATGACTAAGCCTCTCTACTTCTAGGCTCAAGTTTACCACGTCTTCCTGTAGCTCTGTTTGAGTGGAAGCTGATTTTGTTGTATGGCTAGGGGATAAAAAGGAACATTGTTATGACAGATGTTCTAGGACGCATGGTCATATATCTCAATCTTACGTGAGCACAATTCCTCCACTTTTAGGTTGTTATAACAAAGAAAGAAAATACATACATACACAGATTGATACATAGGTACCATGGTAATAACAAACAATTTGCAAATTACAAACATTAGACACAGAGCAGCCATTACAACTCCGGATTACCTCACACAAACACCTTATTGGAAGATATAACCAGATTCATCTACAATTTTATAATCTAGACTAAAGTTCCACGACTTCGTACTTTCGCCAATGATCCTAATCATTATGACTGACAAATTGTAGATTAATTTATTCCCCCTGGTTATGAAAATTTAAATACATTGTGGAAATTATATCAGTTGATCATATTCTGCAACAATACGCAGTCTTATCATAACAAAGAATGCCAATCTAGCATTTCCTTATGAATATGCAACTGAGGTCCTTATTTTAATAGGTTGTGTTTAATAATGTTCACCTTCACTTAACTTTCAAATACTCCAAGTATGAAATTCCAGGCACTTACCATTGTTAATTTATAACATTTTCTCCTTAATTAAGTCTTGATTTACATACTCAATATCTACCTGGGTTTCTCCTGCTATAGGCCTATCATGCAATGCAGCTGATTTACTAGAATATGATTTCCTAATCAATTATGCAATATTCATCCATATTTGCAAAATTGTCACATAGTTATGCCAAGCATCACATAAGCTACCTACGTACCAAAAATCGAATATAATTAAACATCCTCGCAGTTCCAGATCAAGCCGGTAGGGGGGGGGCTCACATCACTTTTTCCCCAGCAGAAGAGCTACCTATCATCCAAATTACCTCCATGAAATATGTAGATTTTTTTGTAAATGTTGATTATTTCGGGATTTTTCTCTCTGATTATTGACTATATAAGGTAATAATTACCATAGTTTATTTGATTTATGGTTTTCTACACTCAAATTAAAATATTTTGCGCGTAAAATTTCTATCCTTTGGTAATGTTTTATTTTAACATGTCCTCATTAATTATGCAAATGACTTCCACATTAACATAATAAATGCATAGTGATGTTAACCTTTGAGTTACTTGCAAATGTAACAAGGTATAAAATCACATCATCCACCATTAGGAATCATATAATGTACACATAATTATGCAAATTAGGTCATTATCTGCATAATTGGTATCTGATGATGTTCCACCTACCATAGATTACATACATTACATGCATGAAAGTGACATTATGCTAAACACTGTAATTTCCTCAAATTAAGTATCCATTTGCATAATTTGCATTTAGAATATGTACATCTCTCTATACCTACATACCAAAAATGATGAAAATATGTTGTTCCGATCCATTCTGGACTTATCTGCCTTAAGGATTTCGCCAAAAACTCCCCTGTAGTTCCAGAACAAGCTGATAGGGGGCAAAACCCACACCACTTATTCCTGACAGGAAAAGCTATCTGTCACTCCATTTTTCATGGAGGTAAATATCATCAGACTACATTCTCAGACAAGCTTTAAATCCATAAAATGTAATATGAATTATTACCGTTCTTTGGCACCAGGAGGAGCACTGTTTACCCTCATCAGTGATGTGGCCACGGAGGATGATTCCGGCGGATATACCAAGCTTGAAACTGTACCAGCTATAGCTAGGCCAACAGATAAAGCACAGTCATTAAGTGTGCACTTCATATTGCATTACTCGCTGTATTAAAATCACTTTGTATACTCGCGATAGGAAAATTTCGCGGTCTGAGTAAAATGGACATGTTTGCGGAACTATACATTGTACATTCGCGGTTACGACAGGTGCAGAAGAAAAAAGAAAGTCGGCGAATTTTTTGTTCTCGGTAATGATAAATTCGCGGTACGGAAGTTACCACGATAACCGCGAATATAAAATGATTTACAGTAATATATGCCACCGGAATGTCTATCCTTCATTGACGTGATATGGAGAATTACTTACACATGTATGAGATACGGTTTTGGCACTCAAGTTGTTTTCGAAAACCACTCACATATTCCGCCTTGGTGTTTCTCATCAAAAGTTATTATTACTATTCATAACAAATAACATATTATTGCAAAGTATAATGAGTTAGGCTTCTAATAGTGCATACATGAAGCAATGGAATTGATAAAGTGTTAACTGAGGCATGATAGACCAAGGTTGCGTTTCTACATTTCATTGATACGTTTAGATGGGGGTAGTAGATTGATCTGTAATTGAAAATAAAACATCTACTCACCATAACGTGGTGAAACCTCCATTCCTGATGACGATCTTCAGTGCGCTTTAAAATTAAGATAGGGAAACATGTTAGATTTTGAGACAAGCAGTTTGTGAGCAAAAACATATAACAAAGTGATTTAGAGCAAAAAGAAGACACTGTTTGAGTATGAAGAAATTTGAAAGAGTTAGTTTGATAAATAATGTGCGTGTGGGTAATGGGCAACTAAACAGTTGATTTCCTTACTATGAATATGACTGTAGTTTACAGATTTTTCTGACGTTACATGATTCTTTTTAAGTAGCTTTCTTCACCTATCGATATCATGCAATAATTTAAAATCAGGGTGGTCCTTTTTACGAGTAACTTTTACTTGTCTTTTCCCCACAGAATCACCGCCCACTGTTCCTGAGTGACAACACCGTCCCTTCTCACTATTCCTGAGTGTCTGGGCTAATTAATGTCTAATTAATGTAGTATTCCTACCGGCACTAGCAATTGCGCATACTGACACACATAGAAAAAAAATGAGTCAGATCCGGCGGTACCATTGATGCGAGCATGCAATACAAATGCAAATACCGTGAGAACCATCCATGGAACACCAACTTTCCAGTGGAGAGTTTTTGCGCAGTTGGCCACACTTAAGTAAAAAAGCTTAATGTACATGTCAACAATAACCAAGAACAACAAGAACCCAAAAAAATAATAGGAAACATGAAACAGGGATATATAACAGGAACGTTGACGGGAACGTCTAATCTACAGAAACCGAGGTGGACAAATAGAATATATTATATTATATAAATTGCAGACGCAGACGTAGGCCAAAAATTGACTTCCAAACAAATCGATGTTCAGGAAAACTAGGCAATAACAGTCATGATAACATTGTTGCCAAGAGAGGTAAAGAAATTAAAAGAAAAAATAAATATCAGGGGACTGTTCAACAAGACACCTTTGAAACTGGAGGTAAAAAAATGATCACCTATGGTTACCAAGACTGTCGGCCAGAGACTGTCTCGGGCAAGAAATGAATATCAACGGGAAAAATTTACTCCATAATGGCGTCCATTTAGCTTGTTGTCAAGGCTGACGATGACGAGTCTTTCATAATGTTGGCCTGTACTGTATGATAATGAAAGTTCCATATGTATATGTATATACATATATAACTCTACGGAATTAAAATTACCAGTACCTACTTGAAATCGTCAGTACTTACTTCAAAAAAAGATAGTCAGAACTACGTCTTGTAGTGAGTGGCTGCCGTGGTCTCTGTACCTGGCCAAGCCCAATGTTTGTCTTCGTGTGCATGATAGCCTTTCAATGCCAAGGCATCAAATGTACACGGACACTGTTTACCAAACCCCACCCGTTAGCAGTCTTTTATGTCAGGTTCAATTGAACGCAACTTCTATTTCTTCTTGCGTTTCACGGTTGGCGCCAACAGTTCCTCTATTCATTCTTATGATGCAATCCACAAACAGTCAAAGGCTGTTTTGCTTGATTGATTTGCAACCATGTGTTGGTATGATTCTGGATTTTGATAACCGTACTGTTACAGAAAAAAAGCACTTCAAAAGTAGCCGTAAAAACATAACATTTAACCATTAGTTTTCCCATTTCTGGGCTATACAACACGTGTAATACAGCATTGATAAATGCCTCCTGATTATTATGTTTTTCAATACAGACTATGCTTCATAAAGAGATTTAATTCATTTTTTTTTCTTAGAGAAGCAAAGCCAACGTTTCAAAAGACAACACGACCGTACATGTACCTACTTCATAGGAAAAAAACAACTTGCTATCAGTTAAACAACTGCAGGGACTGTACATGTGATTGCATGACAGATATTTATTCATAGATTGTAATCATTACATTGACCCAGCTGTAATAATAACATACTAGTTAATAGATTTTTATTTAAAATTTGTAATGCATACAGTACTTATGATCAAGAACCATATTGAAGCTCAGGTCTACTTCACAATTTCATTGCCAGTGCTGAGAGCATTACTTACATCACTTAACTACAACGCTGTAAGTACATCACAAATTTAGCTACCAGGCCTCAAAAGTCTCTGGTAAGAGTACTATAAAATTGGCCAAATAGACTGATAAGATGCAAGGGAGTTTGTCCGCTAGAGTAGTACAGTACGGAAAACTGTGCTCTTTAGCGGACCAACTTCCCGAGTATCTTATCTGTCTATTTGGCCAATTTCTTCTCTTTCCAGACGCTTCCCGAAGCCTAGTATAAAAGGATAAAACTCGTATCTTACAAATTGAGGTACATTTCATCTCTTCAGTGATTTATCAACTTGTGCATTTTTTTCAGCAATGTACTTTTGAATTTCATCCCATTCGCTGTTTACATCATCCTCACGGAACTCCTGCTGCCGTGCCTGATATCTTCCTGTATAATCAGATATTCCTGCCTCTTTGTGATCTAGTATTCCTACCACCACAACAACCTTGAAGTGTGCATACTGTTGACGTACATAGATAAGTAGTGAGTCGGATCCGGTACCATTGATGTGGGCTTTTCCCCATTGGGGTGTACCGCGCACATTTTTACCGTCGAAGTGTGGATAGCTCTGTATCTTTTTCATATCCTTGTTGTTTCTAACTTGAATGTAACTTTCTCCATGATTATACATGTTGTACTGCCGACCGCACACCTGGTACTCCTGTCTTGTAGTTCTAACTGCCTCCATAGCAGGAACAATCTGATTCTTACAGTAGACAATCTGAGATTCCAAATACTTCTTGAATTTCTTCTCGTTCTCTATGACTATGTAAGTATTGTCGGATCCAGTCACACAACAACTATGGTCAAAGTTTTTTGCCAGAGAATCCGAGTCAGCATCTTTCAGGCGGACACCATCCTCGAGCATGTAGAAGTCAATTGTGTCTGCTCCATCTTTCTGGATAGCGAGGATGAGAATGTTGTCGTAGGCACACTCTTTCCCTGTGTAGCTGTTAGACACTGTTAAGGAATGTCTTGTAAGGCAAACCCCCTCCCCTTGCTAAGCCATGCACATTTACAGAATATAACGCAGATTCTAGTAGTAGGGAGAACTAGCTTCGGTAAAACATTTACTGCTTATTTAGTCACCAAAGTTGTAATTAAAACGGTGGTAATCTAACTTACGGTGCAGCAAACTTATAGTATCAAGATAAATACTTAAAAAAGTAAAAGGATACAGTGTTAAGTCCTCAGCATGTGATTTTGCCAGCTCGATGAATTCCAAATGACTACCTGTTGCACGTCTTTCTCCGTTGCCTTCGTTCCCACTTAGCTTTTGGACGTATTCGTTCAAATAAAAACAGAGGTCGTCCATGTTGACTTCGCCGTATGTTCTTAACTCGACCGGCTTAAGGTCATATCGAGCTATGTATTTTTTCGCTCTCTTTCCATGTAGCTGAAAATGAAGAATACCGGTGCCTTCGCCCGAAGTTTCGCCCATAAACGACCTGTCGCAAACTTCTTCGAGAGGGTAAAGAACCGTTATGTATGGCCTCGAGGTCCCTCCTCCAGTCGCCATTTTAACTTGGCGCTTGGTGTCATGACCTGGCACATCAATGGTCGTTGGTTTTCTATTACAAGGTGTTTGATTTCAAATGGGAATGAGACACAATGTGCACATACCCAACTTGAACGGGTAATGATTGTATTGAAGGCCTCCTTAATCCTCAACAGTACACCTTCCCGGACTGATTAATCTGTACACCTGGGGTCCGCGCGGACCCCAGAACAGTTTTTTGCTAATTTTTAGAAATTATCAACATGCTACCAGCTCAATTGTTTTGCAAACTGATGTGGGAACCTCTGTGTCCACATTACATACAAAAATCATACATTTTGAACTTTTTCTTTTTTTTGGTGAAGAAAAGAAGACAAGAAGAAATACCCGATTTTTAAACCCATTTCAGACTGAAGGGGCTTTTGAGGCCCAACTTTGATCTCAGATAGCGGCTAAACGGCTTGCACTAGAAGTATCAAATTTGGAGACCTTCCCTAAAATGTCTCTGGAAAAAAGTTCATATTAGTTTAATACTAGTAAGTTGATGTTTTTTTGTGTTGCCATGGCAACGGGCTATTTTTTTGAAAATAGAAGTAATTTTGGTTTAAACATAAAAATTTTCTGAGTTTTATATTAAATTACACTTCTTTTCCAACATTAATAAGATCTTACATAATTAAATATAAGTTAAATAATTTAATATACATAGAATATGCTAATTTGATGACGTCATTGGTCAAAATCCAATATGGCGGACTATATTATTAGCTCTGACGTCATATGACGTCATAATTACACCAAAGTCATTAAAATTTAATTCTATTACTAAACCATTCTCTGAAAACTTGGTAGACATACGATGAGTGCATAAAAACATATAAAAACGGAAATAATGTAATGTATAAGAATGCCAGTACAGTGTATCTATCCATTATGATCGAAAGCCGGCTGGGGTCCACGCGGACCCCAAAAGAAAATCAGATATAATTTTTTTATAAATGGTAGAAACGGAGTTTTCTGCACTGTATTGAGAGACAACTTTGTCGGTAACAATTACCTAAAATTTCAGAAAAAAATCTTTAGAAACAAAAAAGATATTACAGAATATATAGTGCTGGGGTCCGCGCGGACCCCAGGTGTACTGTTTAGGGTTAATGGTTCACCTCGTGAAGGGCTTCTTGTCACACATATATATATATATATATAACATAAGTTATATAATGTTTCTTTTCTTATACTTTGACAAAGTAAAAGCGTCGACGCAAACGCAAGCTAAAGGTTGTGTTGTTCTCGATGACGGTGTAAGAAACTACTAACTTCGTCAAGTCTTTTTGTTTCATTCCAGAACCCCTCAAATGACTCCCCTGTCGTTAAAAAAAAATCGACATCCCTTTGCGAGCCGGCGCCATTCTTCATTTTCCATTGAGGAGAAGACGAAAATTTGGCGCTTTGACCGCCTTTTTCAACCAGTGGTACAGCAGATTAGGCTATGAAAGGATATACTGTTTTGCCTAAATTTGAAAATATACAAGATAGTAGGCTTATAGCTATAGTTATAATTTGCCCAACAAAATCCATACATCTTAACGTAATTCTAGTAGGATGAACTAGAGGAGGAGCTAGATTATGATCTCATCTCTAGTAATGATAGCAATGATGAGAAAAATTGAACATATATGCATTATATTATATTATCAAGATATATGGTGACGTTAACGATGCACAAATTTCATTTTCACCATTTCATATTGGTTATGACGCTTTTTCTACTTTATTTTTGGCAGATTATCGCCGCAGTTATGATTTTTTTTTATTTATTCAGAATTGTAACAAGACAATACAAAGTGTGCACTAGGCAGCAAGTATGCTGATACCGTGCACAACTAACACATACCTGGACATATGAGGTAAAAAACAACAGTAAATAGTTAGAACAAGATATATACACAAATAACATTATCTAATAATTATGCAGTTATGATGCACTCAATGCATTTTAGGTAAATCGAATAAAACTTAAGTATTCGTTTCTCTGAAAATCAACCACAACCATAAGGAGGTGTCCTACATTCACACGCACTCTAACTTCACACGGATCTAATTATGCATATACAATGTATGTCGTGTTTATTGCCACTTCTTTGCTATTCAAAAGGTAAACAAATATAGTCAATGCATACAGCTGTTATTTTCATGCAAAGTATAGTGCTAGCTGATTATCAATCGTTGCCAAGAAACAGAATTTCACCAATAATAATGATGGCACTGAAAAAAGGGTACTCCGTATATGTACTTTTTAGAGTTTGAGTTTTAGAGTTTGAATGGAATTATGATATGGAAAAAAATGAGGTTAGGACATGTCTTCATTTTTTCTTCATAAAGGGTTGAATGAAATTCTTATATGAGCATGTTATCTCGTCTTTTTTCCATATAATGTTTACATGGAGTGCTTATAATATATGAAAAAATGAGACAAGGACATGTTATCTCATTTATTCTCCACATAGGGTTTAAATTTGAATGGAATTCGTATATGGAAAAAATTAAATAATGTTTTCTCATTTATTTTCCATATAGGGTTTGAATTAAATTCTTATATGGAAAAACGAGGTAACTATTAGAGAAAGAGCTACATGTATCACGACTTTTTCAATTATATCAAGTTTTCCAGTGAAAATAAATTTACGTACTCAATAAATGAGATAAAAAGCTATGTCTAGTTATTCATATCTCACACCATAAACGTATTTCACAATACCCAAGTGTCCCTCCCTACGTGACCTGTAAAGTATACAATAAAGTAGTTTACAGCCGGTTACAACTTCTCAATTAAGTCCACATGTGACGTTACATTTTTACCCTTTTTTAAGCACTATAGTTCACATAAAAATGGTCGATTTGATATTTTTATTATAATTAGGCGCCACCAGGAGAGCCCATGTACTCGTACCATGGGAGGGCCACCTTCATTCAAATGTACACATCTTTTTTGGAACATCACCTTTTTTGCGTGCCCTTTATTCCACAGTTCATGGGCTTATATAGGGTGAGGGACTGTCAGAAGCGCGAAAGTTGGTACATTTATTCATCTTACCGAATTTTCGGTGAACGTTTTGGACTTGTTGCAATACTTATCAATGTTGATAGGTGACGCTGTGAGACCGTCTGTTGTCGCGTTTCGCATAACACACAGTTATATAGTAGTTACGTTTAAAACCCGGCAGTGATTTTTTCCCGCATTTTGCTTGAAACTATGAATTTTCAAACGTTCCATTTACAAGTATCAGGAAAGTGAGATAGTGCGTCGTATTTTAGTATATTATCCCCTAAAATGTCTTGGGTACCCTGGGCTCAAGAGCGGCACATGTAACCTATGACCTTCTGGAGCTTCATGCTGCAACAGTACGAAATCTCGCACGTTTCCCAGGGTTTGTTATCAAAAATTGCGTCAAGAAACCCTTCATGTTGCAGTCTTTACTCCCCTGTCGTCAGTTTCCAGCTAGTTTGAGTATTTGTCGTGCCCAGACGAGGTGTTTGTGGCGGCGGTTCTGTGTTTTCTCCGGTCGGCGTGGTAGTGAAGGTGGGGAGGGGGGCGGCAGACGACAGCCCAGACTGGCAGTGTTTCCTCCGGGTGGAAGACATCTACAAGTGAGTACACAGTAACTACTTAAAAAAAAAATATCACAAATTTCATCACAAATTATTCTGCGAGATATAAAGAAGCTGTATGATATACTAGTAGGACTAGAGACTGTCAAATTACACCCGCAGCTAAAATTATGAATAAATGCTGTGACAGTCCTAGCCGTGGACGACTCTGTAACCCTTTTTGCATGATAATGCCGGTGACAGAGTCGTGGAAAGCACCATAGGCCAAAACCAACCTTTGCCGTGCCGGGCCTCATGCAACGTGCCGGCCCCGGTTTTTTGGTGTCGCCGGCTTCCCGACGCACTCACCTGCCGGGCCGGGGGGATAAGACCCT